TTATGTCTGTTGGTGCTTATCATATGGCATTGCCTCTTGGGTGTGTGTCTTGTGTGTGAGGTCAAGAATCTGTTTCACACCCACAGAAGAATCCTTATGCTGGGCAAGCCTTTTATATCTAGGATACTGGAGAAAATTTTACAGCAATAAATTTGAATGGTAAGGTACCCCTGTGATATGAGAGTCCATGTTTCCTGTGAAATGCATACTGTAAAACACAGTTCTAAAGACCTGGAGAAGGGGGGGGATTTCCAATACCTACCCCATTCTCCCTGCCTCCCATTATTTTTTCCTTTATCCTTGACCTTCCTGGTGACTTCCATTAGCATATCTTCCTGTTTAAAACGTGGTCATCTTTCCTTATGTTTCCCATTTACCTATTACTACTGTTTCCTAAAAGTTGTATTTCTACTCCCGAGATTGGAATTTAGATTCCTCCTCTCCCAGAGATTAATATGCTTGCCTGAAGCTGAGTTAGTTGGCTGCTCAGGAAGAAAAGACTCAGGAGGCAAGTTGTGTAGAGAGAGCTATGTACCAGTCCACATATAAGCATCACCTACTTGGGAAGTCAGCACAGTGAGTGATACAGAAAGAGGAGTCATCGTTTCAGCTACAAAGAAGTGACAGTCTGTAAGGAAAGATAAAACTAACACAGTCATCGGTTCTTTGGCTGTGTGTGGAGTGTCTGCTGTGTGGCAGGTGCTCTCCTCAGAGCTGGAACATAGCGGTGGATGAAACAGAAGTTCTGGTGTCATTGGAACCTGCATTCCAGTGACTCATAATAAGTCAGGTAGCAGGAGTAGAGTGGAGACAAATGAAGCGGGAAGGCAGATAGAGAGTGCAGGCTGCTGCTGAGGTCGGATGGTCGGAAAACGGCCATCTGATGTGGTGCCGTGTGAGCAGAGACCTGCGTGAGATTAGGGGGTGGGCTGTTCACGTACCTGGGAGAGTGGCACTCGGGTAGAGCCAAAGTGCACAGGCCCTGAAATGAGACTATGTCTTCAGTAAGAAGGGCAGTGGGGGAGCGGAGGGGGGGCGGGGGGAAGAGGGGCAGTGAGGCTAGAGTAGGGGCTGAATCACTCCAGTAGCTGGACAGGAGCTCAGAGAGGGAGTAGAGTTCTGCTTGGTGTATGCCGGGAAGCCGTCGGAATGCTCACCAGAGACATGCTGTGGATGTGATCTGGGTTAGTCCGAGAAAAGGACCACTGTTTGCAGTGTGGGGATAAGACTCTCCAGGGGCTGGGGGGGAGATGGGAGACCTGAGAGCCGGTTTAGGAATTACCGCTCTCTTCAGGTGAGGGAGGCAGTAGTTTGGACCAGGGTGGTAATGGTGGTGCTGGTGAGAAGCCATGAGATTCTGGATTCATTTTGGAAGTAGAGCTGACAGGATAGATCAGGTGTAGGTGTAAGAGAAGATAGTTGGAGATGATTCCTTTTTTAAAAAAATGTTTATTTATTTTTGAGAGAGAGACAAAGAGAGCGTGAGTGGAGGAGGAGCAGAGAGAGAGGGAGACACAGAATCTGAAGCAGGCTCCAGGCTCCAAGCTGTCAGCACAAAGCCCGACCTGGGGCTCGAACCCACAAGTAGTGGGATCATGATCTGAGCTGAAGTTTGACGCTCAACTGACTGAGACCCCCAGGCACCTGGAGATGATTCTTAAGGTCATCTGTGAAAAGTTATTTGTGGGGGTGGGTCCAGGTCTAGAGTATACTGTGTGTCCAAAGAAGTCTCAGTAGGAGGGGAGGCCCGAGGTGTGGAAGTTGCTTAAAAGGGGCCTTGAAAAGTGGCGTGAAAGGTGATTTTATAGAAAATAAAGCAGTATGAAGTATACAGCATGTAAAATAGAGTTATGTCCTGACTTCACCCTCAAAATATTCCTAGGGTCCATTTCTTGCAGAAAAAAAAGTGATTTATCCTAAACAAAGCCTGCACACTGTTGACATGTGACCCTGGGAAGTATGCCACATGTGTAACAGCTTTTACATTTACATTACATGATGAAGATACTATTAGTTACTATTGATGGTATTAATTATTATTATTCCATTCTTACCCTTGTGTTAAGTAGTGCCTGATCTTTTGGTAATACAATTCTGTCTGTTTTTTTCTGTGAAAGTTGAGAAAATGAACTGATACTTTATGTGTAATCTGCACAGGCATACACTGGGTTTCTCTTTTTCTTTGTATGCTTCTAAAAATGGTATAGGATTTAATGAAATTAAAATTATTCATAACAAAAGGAGGACATGCGACTGAATGTCTGTCTGATGTAGAGGATCCTCAAGACACAGTCCTGACGGGATTTGTGATATGATAGGAACACCTGAGATTTGATGGCACAGGTAAAGGACCCCAGTGTGGTTTCGATTGTTGCCGAGAAACAGAATTCTTATGTTCTGCTTTAACTTGTTTTACCAATTAATGAATGAACTTTCCTCACTTTGGTTTAAGGACCATGGAAGCTATCCACCAAAACACTCAGTGAAAAACAAGATAAAATACCTATTTTTGTAAATTAGCATTTGTGTATTGCTTTTCTCATTTAATCCAGTAAACGAGGCATGATCTCAGTTTTAGGGAGGACTCAAAAGTGCAGCAATACCCAAGGTGACAAAAATTCTAAATATTAAGGGTCTGACATATATTTAGAATATTAACACATATTCTAAATTGTCCTTTGATCCAAATCCCATTCCCTTTCCATTACATGTACTGTGTTCCCCTCCCCCCTTTTATTAATGTTGAAACATCCTGTTTCTTAGTTGGGTTAAAGGAAGTAAATTAGATCTCAACTGTTACTAATTCGGAAAGAAAAAAACCTTTGGCACACTGAGAACATATTAATTGTCTGTGAAAGTAATAGTGGAGTTCATGGGCTTCTGATGAGGTCAAGTGATGTCACTGATAGTTTCTTTTTTTAAAAAACTTAAAATGTTTTTTAAAATTTATTTTAAGAGAGAGCATCAGAGAGCGTGAGTGGGCAAGGGGTGGGGGCGCGGGGGGAGAGAGAATCCCAAGTAGGCTCCCTGCTGTCAGCACAGAGTCTGACTTGGGCTCCGTCTCATGAACTGTGAGATCATGACCTGAGCTGAAGTTGGATGCTTAACAGACTGAGCCACACATGCATCTCCAATATTTTATCTTTATAACAGTTTTTTTCTTTTCATTTGTAGAGTTGGGGAGTTCCAAAATTTTTTATAAGGAACATTTCATATAATCAAGATGGTACGATGCATATATAAATATAAAGAATAAAATAAACTATCCTTTAACGACTACCCAGCTAACATAGAAATTATCCATGCCTTCTGGGTGAGCCCCTGAAACCAGACACTGATTTCCATTTTCTTGGTAGAGTTTGTTTGTAGTCTTTCATCTTTTAGGAACTATAGTCCTTATAGTTCCTAATTTTAAATGAGTATCGAGAGTTTTAAGCAATGTGTATGAGGTAATTTGGGGGAGTGATCATATACATATGCATACGTGCACACATAAAATATGCATATGCATAAAAATGTCATACTGTATTTACCTTGACAAGTTGCTACATGTAGGGAATAAGCCTTTAGGTGATAGGTGTCTTGGCTAAGAGTGTGGGCTCTGGAGCTAAACTCCAGACATCCTGGATTGCCCCTAGCTAGCTCTAGCCTATAGCTAACTCTATATATAGCCTCGGAAATTATTTAACCTCTTTGTGATAGTTTCTGTATCTATGTGATAGTTTCTATGTGATAGTTTCTATCTATACAGAGGCGGTAATGAAACTTCTACTTTAGTGGTGGGGAGGATTAAATAGGTTAGTACACAGAAAGTTCTTAGAGCTTAGAGTAAGTGCTCCATGGGTGTTGGCTCTTATTTAAATCTTGTCCCTAGTGGCTTTTGGTTAGAAGCACACTTCTTTGCTTAGGTTGCCATTTGTGTGGGGGGAGATGTTCTTTCTAGAACTGTGTCTCCTTGTCACATGATTATGTGCAGTGTGAGCCTTATTAATACTCTGTCAGCATTTGAGGTTTGAACATAAGTGTGTGGCTATGCCCAGTGGAATCCAGCAAGAGCGAGAACTAAGCACCGTAGCAACTGTTGCTATTTATGTCCTGAGCAGCAGCTGCCCTGGACAGATTTATTTTTAATCCTGATCTCACTGATAGTCTGGGATGTGGCCATGCTTTAGAGAAGTGGGTTGGTTGAGTTGTCTGGTCTTTGAGGAGATTTTGTGACCACATGTTATAAAGATTCTGTTCCATGTGAAATATGAGGCGTTCAAAGCTTTGTATATAAGAGAAAGGAAGAGAGGCTAAGCTTCAGCATTCAGTCAGTCCCTAAAGTAGAGTGTGATTAGATTAATCACATGAGAAATACTTTCATTGTGGGCAGTAAGGCTTCGTGCTTTGCAGTCAAAAAGTAAATTTTGCTTTCTATAACATCCTATAGAAGATTTGTGGTGTGTGGTTCTACTGTATACATACAGAATATGCATGTACATGCATATTTGATAATAAGTATCAACTGTGGATTTCAGCAAGAAAACTGTCTTTCATTATCAAATGCTTTTCTAAAGTAGATAATAAGATCTTTAAAAAGAGTTTATTTCAGGTAGTAGTTGGATTGATTCAATAATTTTTTTATTTCTGTCATATTGAAATATTTTAAGCTTTATGAAGTACCTTGAAATAGTAATGTGTCCCGTTTCTGAATTTGGGCTGCTAATTTACCTATGGGTCAGCTACACAGTACTTCCTGAGTACCTACTGTATACTAGGCTGTGTTTTAAATCCTAGTATCACCCAGTGAATGTTGTTGGTCTGATTCTTTTTAAGTTCTGTGTACAGATCCTATCTATTAAAAATGTGATTTGAAATTTTTTTTTATGTTTCCTTGTCCAGATTCAGTAGTATCAATTTCCTGATTTGGGTGTTTTGAATTTACAACATAACATCATGTTGAACTAAGGAACTTGTAACGGAGTGACTTACCCAATCAAATCATTTTCATTCTCTAGGTATTATTAACCCAAAGAACCCAAAGGAAGCTCCAAAGTCCTTCAGTTTCGACTACTCCTACTGGTCGCACACCTCGGTGCGTATGCTCACGGGGCCGCGGAATAGAGCCGTGCAGGCTGGGAGCAGTTGTGAGAGCGCTTGCAGGTCCACAAGGAAAACAAAGATGATCAACACCCAGGAAAACAGGGGGAGGGGGGCCCTTTGCAAGGACTCCCCGTCTTGTAGGCTCCTAGGGATTGTTCCTCAACCAGAGTTTGCTTCTGCATCCCTTCATTCCATGTTTCTCCCTTTTTTTCCCCCTTCTGTTTTGTGCTGGAGTAGGAAAGGTTTCAAACTTTTGACAAAGCCAAGGGAGGCGCCTATGCAAAGGGGGGTTGGAAACACTTGTCACTGGGAGCTGGGTTTATTGAGAAATAGCCACACCACCTGGAATGAGTGCGAAGTATTTCTATATGTGGACTTGGCCTTTGATCTTTTAGTCCCATTTTCCATTTAAGAAAACTTTCTTGCAGCTTATATGAATGGAAGAGTGATACTTTTAAGGTCATGGAAAATGAAATGTAATCAAGTGAGATAATTTCATGTAGTTATTTTTATCTATGGCTGACTCTAATTGTGTGTGTGTTTAATAAGAGAAAAATAAACTGTGTAGGAGGGCCTCAAAAATTGTATAATATTTTTAGGTGACTGTTGAGATTCCAGACACTTTTATTATTGAAGTAATCAAATAAGCATAGGAAGGTATACAAATAAAATGCCATTGATTTCTCCTTTGAATCTTTACAGCCTGAAGATCCCTGTTTTGCATCTCAAAACCGTGTGTACAATGACATTGGAAAGGAAATGCTGTTACATGCCTTTGAGGGCTATAATGTCTGTATTTTTGCCTATGGGCAGACTGGTGCTGGGAAATCTTATACAATGATGGGTAAACAAGAAGAAAGCCAGGCTGGCATCATTCCACAGGTAAAAAAACGACAAAACACCTCTGTTTATTATTATTATTGCTCTTAGTCTTCAGTTGCTGTAACAGTTATTTTTATTTAGCAAACAGTTATTCAGGGACTATCGTATGAGAGACACAAAAATAAATCACTGGTCCCTTTCTCTCAAAGGAGCTAACAGTTTGGTGGAAAAAGACTGATGTGTATATATGCCTGTCTTTAAAGGTGGGGAAGTTGCTGTTCTGTAAAGGTTTTACTGTATCCCTATGTCTGATTATTGTATCTTCTGACCAGTGTTACCAGCTTCTTAAAAAAATGTGGTAGTTTGTACCAGGCTCTGTTCTCAATCCGGGGGACACCTAGTTAGTGTCGTTGCTGGCTGGTCTGGTTTTTTCCCCCCAAGTTCCATATATAGATCACCTCATGAGCATGAGATTATTTTTGTTTTTTGATTCCCTTCTCAGAGATATTTTCCTTATCTTATTAATTTAATACTATCGCTTTAAGCTTGAATAGTCTGAGAATTTTATTTTTTAGTGTAAAGGATGTCAGTTTTTTAATGTTTATTTATTTTTGAGACATAGAGTATGAGCAAGGGAAGAGCAGAGAGAGAGGGAGACACAGAATCTGAAGCAGGCTCCAGGTTCTGAGCTGACAGTCAGCACAGAGCCCGACTTGGGGCTCGAACCCATGAACTATGAGATCATGACCTGAGCTGATGTCGGTGCTCAACCAACTGAGCCACTCAGGTTCCCTATTTTCCTCATTTTAAAGACGAGAAAACTGAGGCACAGCAAGGTCATGTCACTTGCCCAGGGAAGTGGCAGAGCCCAAATCCAAATGCAGGCAAGGAGATTCTGGAGGCTTGCTTTTTCTATGGTGTGGTACTTCTTTAGCAGTAAGATATCTTTTTGTAGATTATAGCAAGTTACACCAAACAGTCCTGTTTATTCCCTCATCACGTTTAGTATCTCCTTCCCTCTCCTTTAACCTTAATTTGTTTGCTGTTGGAATTTTTGTGTAATTACATATATATCCTTTTTCTGGCAGAATTTTGGAATGTTTTATTTTAATGCAAAATCATTAATTTTTTAAAACAGGATTATCATTGAGAAACTGCCATGAGTAGTAAATTTTATTATTTTTTATTATTTTTTTAATATTCATTTTTGACAGAGAAAGAGCACAGTTGCACACGTGTGCACATTTGTGGGGGAGGGGCAGAGAATCCCAAGCAGGCTCCACACTTAGTGCAGAGCTGGATGTGGGGCTCAGTCTTAAAACCATAAGATCGTGACCTGAGCTGAAATCAAGAGTCACATAGTCACATGCTTAACTGACTGGGCCACCCAGGTATCCCTGTAATAGATGTAACTATTTAAAAAAATTTTTAAATGTTTATTTTGGAGAGAGACAGAGAGCATGTGCGTGTGCAGGAGAGGGGCGGAGAGACAGGGAGACAGAGGATCCGAAGCAGTCTCCATCCAGGCTGACTGTGCAGAGCCCAATGTGGGGCTTGAACTCACACACCATGAGATCATGATCTGAGCCGTAGTCAGACACTTACCCAACTAAGTCACACAGGCGCCTCCCCCCAACAATAAATTTTAAGTTATATTTAGACTTCTAGAGAATCACAAACATATAGTTCATTTTCCACATGTTTATTGATTGCCTTAACATTTAAATGTATAGCAAATGGGGTGCCTGGGTGGCTCAGCTGGTTGAGCCTCTGACTCTCGATTTCATCTCAGGTCATGATCTCAGGGTTGTGAGATTGAGCTCTGTGTGTGTGTGGGGGGGGGGCTCTTTGCTGAGTGTGGAGCCTACTTAAGATTCTCTCTATCTTTCCCTCGCTCCCCCACTATCCCACCCTCACTCCTTCATGTGTGTGCTCTCTCTCAAAAATAATAATCATTTAAAAAATGTATAGCAAATGAAAATTCAATAGAATTTTATTATGTAGTCCTATTAAAATATCATATATTTTGAGTAAATTCAAAGAACGGGGAGAGTGAAATTTTATGATATTCCTGATCTAGGAAAATTAATGTTTTCTATTAGAAATGTCACCATGTAGTGGAGTAGCTTCTCATAAAGGGTTTGGAATCTTAAGACAGAGGTAAAGGGGAAATTTTTATACAGCTAAAACTATTCTTTTTTCCTTAAGATTTTATTTTTAAGTACTCTACACTCAGCGTGGGGCTCAAATTTACAACTGTGAGGTTAAGAGTCACACACTCCCCCGACTGAGCCAGCCAGGCACCCCTAGACAGTCAAACTATTTTTAAATACCTTCATTTACTCCCTCTAAACAGCATGCATTCTCTTTTTATACATATATATGTATGAGTTTATAGTGTATATGGTAACTGACAATGTATAAAATCTATATAGCATGATAAATGTGTGCAAAATGTAGGTTAATAGTAGTTTGACTGCTGTGTAATAATACTAATAGTAGAGTCACAGTTACTCTAGGATAGTGTGAAGAATTGAATTCACATAAACTAAATGAGCCAGGGACCCAACACTGGAGAGCTCCTTCTCTTCTCTGAATGTGGCTTGCTTTCTAAGCAAGCATTTTTGAGATGCTGTCATTGAGGGAGAATAGAGATGAGAATATATTCCGAACTCTCCTTTTATTTCATTCATATATATGATTCACCTTTGATATTGTTGCTATTAATATTTTGAGAAAGAGAAAAAGGATCTCGCTAATTCATTTAGCATTCATGAATAACTTTGTTCTTCCCTCATTTATGCTATTTCTGCCTCTCCTGGTTCTGTAGTTGTGTGAAGAACTATTTGAGAAAATCAACGACAACTGTAATGAAGAAATGTCTTACTCTGTAGAGGTGAGTACAACTATGGGTTAAAGCCAGAGGCCTCTGGACTCCATTCCCTCCATGGTTACTTTGCAGAGGTCCCACGTTTTGGCTGTGCTAGATCACTTACCCATTCCCCCAGTGTTTTGTACTCCTAGGCTATTTCTAAGTTTTGATCATAATGAATAATGCTGCAATTAAATCCTTGTTCGCTAGTCGTAAGCTTGTTCATAAGCTTTATTTTTAGCTATTTCCTTTATGTATCCACTTGTCAGACAATACATTAGAATTGCCAAGTGGGTTTTTAGAAGGAAATGCTGTACTAATTTCCAGTCCCATCAGGAGGGTGTGAGCACCCATTGTGTCCTTGCCAACATTTAGTGTCTTCATTTTTTACTCTGCCAATTTGATACGGGCACAATTTCTTGCTTACTGAAAGTAGCATTTCTTTGATTGTTAATGTAGCTGAACATCTGGTCAAGTATGTATATGCCTGTTTATATTTGGGGATTGCTGTGTTTATCTTGATAATCATCTGTGTGAATTCTTTCCCCTTTTAATATTATCAATAATGATTTTTGACCAGCACTGGTTTTTAAAATACTTATAATCAGATGTCTTCTCCCCTCCCTTCTTTGTAATTGTTAAAAGCTTAGAAGGTTACCCTCCATCCAGTGAATACTCCAGCTCTTTGAGGAACAGGTCTATAGAATTGCATTCTGTACAGTGTTCTTTGATGAACATTTCCACTCATTGATATGCGCTTTATGAAGCTCTTGTTTCACTTACCCCCATTTTTGGTACTCAGTTGCATAGAAACTGAAATTATTAAAGTCTTCCATTAACATGGGCCTATTGTTCTGAGACATGAAGCTGGGTTTAAAAAACATTTTTTTTTAATGTTTTATTTATTTCTGAGAGAGAGAGAGAGACAGCATGAGCAGGGGAGGGTCAGAGAGAGGGAGGGTCACAGAATCGGAAACAGGCTCCAGGCTCTGAGCTGCCAGCACAGAGCCCAATGCGGGGCTCGAACCTACGAACCATGAGATCATGACCTGAGCCGAAGTCAGACGCTTACCCGACTGAGCCACCCAGGCGCCCCAACATGAAGCTGTTTTTAAGCAAACTACTTTTTTTACATGTGTGTTGTGATTTTCTATAGGACTTAACCCAATTCCTGGTTGACCCACTTAGCTGGTTTGGGGTTTTCTCTTTACCTGTACAGTGTTGCATTAATTTATAAATTTTAAAGAGTTCTGCTTTGTGACTATCATATGCCAAAGGGGAATGTGTTGCTCTATAAATTTTTTTTTGTAAAAATGAATTCTCTAAATAGCTTGTCTCATCCTATAACTGTTAATGTTGAATACTAAATGTATGACAAATGAAAATTCAGTAGGTTTTTATTCTTACTAAAATAATCGCATATTTTACATAAATTCAAAGGATAGAGGGTATGACAGAATGTGACAGGGTTTTTTGAGCATAGAGACAGATAACAAAAGAAGATGCCATTTGCTTTCATGTTGGAGTTCAGAGGCTTCCTCGGAGTGTGGTGTAGATCCCTAGTTGCTACTGTGGCTCCTCATGTTTGTGGGGCCTCTGCCTCTTCTCCTTTCTGTCCTGTATTTGCTCTGCTCTGGCCANTTTTTTTGCTGTTTCTGGAATACACAGGAACTTTCCTACCTCAGGGTTTTTTCTTTCTTTCTTTTTTTTCCCTGGAATTTTCCTCTTTTGGATATCTTTTTGTCTAAGTGTTGTAACTCCTTCAAATCATTTTCTCAGATCTTATCCTCTCAGTGAAGCTTATTTTGACCACCTTGGTTAGCACTGCCATTTGCCCTCCAATCCCAGCACTCCTGCTCTCTTCCCTGTGTTTTTTCCCCATGATACTCATCATGTTCTAACCTACTTATAATTCTGTCTATTTATCTGCCTATTGTTTATTTTCTTTTTTTTAATTTTTTTTTTTCTGAGAGAGTGAGAGAGCGAGGGAGCTTGAGCAGGGGAGGGTCAGAGAGAGAGGGAGACACAGAATCCGAAACAGGCTCCAGGCTCTGAACTGGCTGTCAGCACAGAGCCCGATGCGAGGCTCGAACCCACGAACCGTGAGATCATGACCTGAGCCGAAGTTGGACACGTAACCGACTGAGCCACCCAGGCGTTCCTGTTGTTTATTTTCATTTAGGGTCATAAGCTCACTGGGACAGGGATTGTCTGTTTCATTCACTGTTACATGCCAAGTGCCTAAGAAAGTGCCTGGAAGATAATGATGCTCACTGAATTGAATTTGCCAGGTGGGGTCTGTAATGGTTGGCTCAAGGGAAAAGAAATAGTTATGACTTTAGATGGATTTGCATATTAGAGAGTAAGTAGTGGAGCATGACAGCCTTCACCTAGGTTACTTGGGTCTTCTTAGTCTCATAACCCGTGTGAAAAGAGACAAGTTTTCCAAGAAGATACAACATCTACCTGGGATTCTGGAGTGTATGGTGAAGTTTAAGTACACAAGAATGATTAAAGTACCATTTCACTTTCTAGGATGAGCTGCTGTTAAGAAGGAATATTTGTTTTCTTGTTTTTTTATTCTCAGAGTGGATCAATTACTTCGAGGGTTCTCAATATTTAAAAACTGATTTTAAAATATAGTGTAAATATATAGTCAGATCTAAGAAAGAAAGAAAAAAGCAAGAGAAATGGAAATAAGCTTCTATTTCAGATGCTCTGAAAGTATGTCTATAGAGTATTTAAGGTTGAAAATGTTGAAGTTTTACTGTTTGCTTGAGTAGCTCAGTGCTACACAAGCTTCTCATTCCTAGGGAGGATCGTAATGAGGCTTACTGTGGTGAATCTCGCCCAGTCCAGAGCCTACGTTATTTACTTAGAAGTGTGATCTTCTATATAGATCAGGAGCAGAAGCAGCCTTTAAAGCCAGACTCTTGAATGAAGCTCATTTGGCTTCTGTTATGAAACCACCATTTTTGTTTGTTACTTTCCCATGAGGGAAAACTTGTAGCTAGCCCAGGACACCCACATTAGCAAGGCTGGTCTGTCACCTTCCTGTGAACTCACTTCTGTTGGAACCTTTTGGTTCTTTAGTGAGCATGGACTTTGAGAGGGAGGAGTTGACTAGACGACTCCTACGTTTCGTTGCCTCAGGTGGAGAAAGGCTGGTCTGGTACGTCCACCTCCATGACAGGAATGGTCCTGCTGGTGGGACCAGAGTTCCAGCAGTGTGTTAGCTGACGCCTCCTCTTCCCTCGCGAGCCTTGGGTGGGTCCTGCCACACAGCCATGCTCCATACCGACCAGTCCTCACTCCTTGTGGTAGATGGCTTGCTTGTCCACAATTAGTCACCGTGTGGTCAGTCTTACAGTAGTAGGGTTGCTGGTCTCTCTTCGTCTTCCCTGCTCTGGAATATTCTTGGCTGTAACACTAATAGAGTTTTAATTCCAAGCATTTAGATTAACCTCGCTGAAATCCTCAATTATTGACAACAGCATACGTTTTAAAAAGTATATTAGTAACTGGTAAGTTGCTATTAAAAATGACACTTTTTTCTGCCTTAGACAAGTAGCAGCTACTCACTGCCAAGATAGTCTGTTTACCTTCTTTTCTTTCCTGAGACTGTGGGAAGCTGGTTCTAAGTCAGTGATGTCTGTGTGTACCATTAGTAGAATCAAAGGGACTGGACCTACGGCATTTTCCTTTGTAAAGATGGCTGATCTCTCATTGTACGTCTTTTTTTTAATTTTTAAGTAATCTCTACTCCCAACATGGGGCTTGAACTCATGACACCAAGATCAAGAGTCGTGTACTCTACTAACTGAGCCAGCCAGGCGCCCCTAATTGTAGACCTTTTAATAAATGTTATACAACATTTAAAAAAAATGTAAGTTTATTTATTTTGAGAGAGAGAAAGAGAGCAGGGGAGGGGCAGAGAGGGAGAAAGAGAATCCAAAGCAGGCTCCAGGCTGCCAGCACAGAGCCTGATGCAGGACTTGAACCCACAAACCGTGAGATCATGACCTAAGACAAAACCAAGAGTCAGATGCTCAACTGACTGAGACACCCAGGCGCCCCTGTAAAACCTTTTTTTAATGTATAGAATTTCTTTTCCCGTGTCCTCTAGCTCAATTTAATATTGTTCCTAGGTGAGCTATATGGAAATTTACTGTGAAAGAGTACGAGACCTGCTGAATCCAAAAAACAAGGGTCATTTGCGTGTGCGTGAACACCCGCTTCTTGGCCCATATGTGGAGGATCTGTCCAAGCTGGCGGTCACTTCCTACACAGACATTGCTGACCTCATGGACGCCGGGAACAAAGCCAGGTATGGTGGAAATAGACTAATGACTGAAGGCTTTGGCACATTTTCGGGTCCTTTGCTCCCAGTTAAGGGTTTGAGACCACACTTACAGCTATGAAAACTGCTGTAATTGTGGACCCTCTGACCCTTCGGCTGTGCTCGAGAAAGAGGGCTTCGGGATATTCAGCATCTTTCTTCTCACCAAAACAGTGCAGTGGTGGAACTTGTCAGAACTTTGGTTAAGTTGTAGTACTTTGATTTTGATCAAGTCATGGTAAAATGTTGGGTATCATGTGCCTATGGTAGTAATTGTGGAATGAAGCATAAAAACTAAATGCCTTGGTGGTTTCTAAAGGGACAACTGAAGTAGGAGAAATGATTCTGATGGGGTGTCTTGGAGTTGGGGGTGACTTGCTAGGTTCACAAGTAAGGTGTATTGAGAACAGTTTGTGTAAGTGACAATGTCACGATCTGTGAATAAGTTTAAAGATCTTGCGGTTGTTGTGCTTATGATGTGGATCCTGCTGTCCATTTCAACTTTCACCTAAGAATTCCACTGTCCTATGTCACCTTTATGTTTATTTAGGACAGTGGCAGCTACCAACATGAATGAAACAAGTAGCCGTTCCCATGCTGTGTTTACCATTGTTTTCACCCAGAAGAAACATGATACTGAGACTAACCTTTCCACCGAGAAGGTAGGACAACTTCAGTGTCTAGGCTTGAGTTATTGAGAATGGGAATCTTCAGAAGTCCTTGCATTTTATAGAGGGCAGAGAGTTGCCCTTTTACTCAATGGAGAATATTTTATATCTTCTACTCGTCATCCTTATTCCGACTCTAAACCAATTTTGAGCATGGGTTTTGAGTGAAATTGCAAGATAGAAAATAGGGTTAAGAAAATACAATTCAAGACTTTGGGTCTCATAAACTCCTCTGTGCAAGAGAGTTCAGCAGTTTTGTGCAGAGAAAATCCTTCCCTTTTTCCTTGACCAGAACCTCTTTATTAGCTTGTTTGGGTGTGTGTGTGTGTGTGTGTGTGTGTGTGTGTGTGTGTGTCTCTTTCTTTCTTTCTTTCTTTCTTTCTTTCTTTCTTTCTTTCTTTCTTTCTTAGCTCTGATCATGTGGTATGAGATTAAATATTTAAGCAAACAGTTAAGCAGACACAGTGTGTTTTTCCTTGGAAAATAAATAATTGCACGGAAGTCCTGGGGTTTTTCAAATACCTTGCATGTTAATGTCTCATTTTCTACACAGTTCAATAGAGTAGACTCTGGAGTTAAGCTGCTTGCTTTAGATCCTGCCTCTATCGCTTTTCAGCACGGTTACCTTGGGCAAGTTACTTAACCTCTTTGTACCTTAGTTTCCCCAACCTCATAGGTTTGTTAAGATTATTACATATTGGTACAGCTTAGTGCACATAATAGAGCCTGGCTCAGAGCCGGGTTTATTCACTCAATAAACGTGAATTTTATTGTTATTATTGTTAGTAATAGATTTATGTTAAACTCTTCTCTGCCTACATACCTAAGTAGCATGAGGCTGGATTTTTAAACCTGAAGTTAGGGGTGCCTGGGTGGCTCAGTCGGTTGAGCGTCTGACTTCAGCTCAGGTCACGATCTCACGGTTCATGGGTTCTAGCTCCGTGTCGGGCTCTGTGCTGACAGCTAGCTCAGAGCCTGGAGCCTATTTCAGATTTTGTATCTCCCTCTCTCTGACCCTCCCCTGCTCACGCTGTCTTTCTCCACCTCTCTCAGAAATGAATAAAACATTAAAAAAATAATAAATAAACCTTAAGTCAGATTTAAAAAAATTTTTTTAATGTTTTTTTTTTGGGGGGGTGGAGAGAGAGACAGAGACAGAGACAGAAAGCGAGCATTAGTGGGGGGAAGTAGAGAGAGAGGGACACACAGAATCCAAAACAGGCTCCAGGATCTGAGCCGTTAGCACAGAGCCTGATATGGGTTTCAAACCCACGAACCAAGAGATCATGCCTTAAGCTGAAGTCAGATGCTTAACTGACTGACCTACCCAGGCACCCCTGAAGTTAGATTTATTATACTGGTGGTGAAAAAGGATCCTTTGCCTTATTAACTGAGTACTTTATGATACTGGTATCACTAAAAACTAGAGTCACTTTTACTTGGTGACTCGTCTGTTTTTAGCTGAAAATTATTTTAGAGAACACAGTCTTCATATAGGTGATCAAATAACTTGACACTGCTTAGCTAGTTACAGTATTAATGCTTTTTAGTACATCCAGTGTGAAAATTTCCATGATGTCACATCTACAAAAATAATGATGTTAATCTCATAACCGTAGCTTCTTTGATCATCCATTTTGGATAGTTTGTCGAACTTTCCTGAAGGTTTTTTTTTAAACAACTTTATTGAGGTATTGTTGAAGTACAATAAACGACACCTATTTAAAGTATAAAATTGGACCACTATGTATGCACTTGTAAAACCAGTATCATAATCTAAGTTACCACTTCTGTTACCCTGGAAAGTTGCCTCATGGTGCTTTATAATCTAACCATACCACTCCTTCCACCCTGATACTCCGGCAATTCTGATCTGCTTTTTGTCACTACAGATTAATTTACATTTTCCAGAATTTTATATAAATGAAATTTTATAGTGTATACTGTTTTCTTGCCTCACTTCTTTCACTCAGCGTAACTTTGAAATTCATTGGTGGTGTTGTATCAGTAGTTCACTCACTTTCATTGCCGATTAGTATTCCGTTATATAGATCTATCACAGTTTGTGCATTAACTCATCTGTCGATGGGCTTTTAAATTGTTTCCCGTTTTTGATGTTAAAATGAAGATGCCGTGAACATTTGTGTACACTTTTTTGTGTAGATATTTATTTTTGTTTCTCTTGGTAAATACCTAGGAAAAAAAGGGTTGAGTCTTATGGTAGGTGTGTGTTCAGCTCCGTAGGTGTATGACTCTGCTAAACTGTCTTCCAAAGTGATGGCATCATTTAACATTCCCACCAGCAGTGTGCAAGAGTTCTTGTTGCTGGAGGCTTCATATTTAATATGCCATTTAATGGGTTAATGAGTTTTATATATTTTTAGGACATGCCATGTCCTAAAATATGTCATGTGTATCCTAAAATTACTTATTTTGAACCAAGATAATTGCTGTGAACTTCTGTGCATGTTCTCTGTCTTCTTATGCCATTTGTAAGAGCCCTAATATTTTTAGTCTTCATGCCTAATTTTTAATTTCCTGCCTCTTTATGTTTCTAGTTCTACCTTGCTTATTTCTGAATTGCCCCAATGTCTTGTTCTTTACCAGGTCAGTAAAATCAGCTTGGTGGATCTCGCAGGAAGTGAACGAGCCGATTCAACTGGTGCCAAAGGGACTCGATTAAAGGTATTTATTTTTATCAAGCAATCAGCCTAGTCAATAAACGTTCTATAACATAGGCCAGCAAACTATGGCCAGTAGGTCAAATATGGCTTCCTGTCTGTTTTTGTAAATGAAATTTTATTGGGGCAGAGCTGTGTCCCTTTGTTTATGTGTTGTCTGCAATGGTAAGGTTGAAAAGTTGTGAAAGAGACTACCTGGCCTGCAAAACCTTTACAGAAAACTTTTGTTGATGTCTGATCTATAATCCAGTGAAAGACAAGTTGCATAACGTAATAGTTCAGGAGGACTTGATGGTCGAGGTAAGAGCTGGAGTGTGTTTTGAGGAACAGGCTGGATGTAAGCGACACTAATAGGACAGGGACACAGAAGATCCAAATGTGAGAACAGACACGGCCTCTCCAGAGAGATGCTTCATTGCAAGAGCGGAGACCGCAGGTTGGTGAGTTGTGGGAAGAAGGCTGCATCTGTAAGCTTTTGGGGCAGGACGCCTTGCAGAAATGTAAGCTTGTGAGTTAGGCATGTGGTCCTGACATGGCATTAAGTGGAGAGGATTACAGGAGGTTTTTAGAACTTGTGGTCATAAATACACAATGCTAGTGTAAGGCCTAATTGTATCGTGTGTATTATATATGATGTGCCAGTTGTAGAAATTCTCCATCATAATTCTTCATGTTTGGTATTGATTTCAGGAAGGAGCAAATATTAACAAGTCTCTTACAACTCTGGGCAAAGTCATTTCAGCCTTGGCAGAGGTGGTAAGTATTATATACTTGATTGTGTGGGAAAATTTGTCTGTTCAGCAAATGTACTTGATGATATGTGTTTTTAAAGACTGACCTTTTTGGCCCTTTTATGTAATCTTGCCTTTCTCCTTTTAGAGCTTTTCAGATAAGATACTAAGTATAAAACATTTTGACTTTCTACTGAGAGTAAAAGAGATTAACGAGAATGAAAGTAAATACAGATCTGTAAAGGCTAGGCTGAAAACTAGTTCTTTACAGAGACTTCAGATTTGACTACTTTTTTTGGGCCTTACTTCAGGTCTCTCATCAAAACCTAGGGATTTTTTTTGCAAATTCTTTTCCTATACAGTCTTTTCTAAGTAGGATGTAGTAACCTTTTGGAGTATTTTGAGCATTTGCCTTGGTGAATGCTGTTGATTTGGGGGCCAATAATATATTTTTAAAAGTTGTTTTATTCTTTCCTGTTCCTTAACAGTAGGACACTAAATCTGAAACAGTTTTGTATAAGGGGCTTCAGTTTTTAGGTTAAAGGCTAAGGAAGTACCAGTTAGTCACCGTGTACTCTAGTACATCATTCGAATCCATGAAAAGAATCAAATGCTTTCTTGCTTGTTTCTGAAAAGTCATACTCAATTTATGACTTTCTGTTTGAAGTCTGTTTTATGACTTTCTGTTTGAAGGCTTATCCTATGTTTTCATTCTTTCTTTTAAATGCTTCGTCTGTAGGATAACTGCACCAGCAAGGTACGGTGGGGTTCGGTAGAAATGAACTAGCTTTAGAATCAAGTGTGATGATTTTAAATCCGTAGCAGGATGTATGGAGACATAAGGAGGAATGGAACCTTGAAAAAACCTTTTTGTTACTTTCTGACTCTGGAATTTAGAATTGCTGTTGAGAGTGACCATGAATCATGAGGTTTCACACCACCATTTAGGGAACATGATGTGCTTTGGACAAGGAATTCAGAATAAAGGAATAAGAGAGAAATTGAGGAAGCATCTACCTTGTATTATTTTATGAGGCTTTTCCTAGTGATCTGTAGGACTGTCATTTGAAGAAGTCACCTGTAAACCTCTTGAAAGGGCAATAAAAATATTTCTTACAGGTACCATTTTGAAACATAGCTACTTTCTTGAAATTATTACGATATTTTGCTTAAATCTCTTTGTGTAATCTTATTTCCTATCATGAAAAGTCATGGATTATTTAAATTGTTAGAAAAATTTTTTTCGACTCTTTGGTTATATAAGTGAAGGCGGTAGAATCAAGTTCAACAGTATGATTGTATCTAGAAAACATATTCTTTGCATCCTTTTAATCCACATACAATAGACCTTTCCTCCTATTTCTATACAAATACTCTAAAATTTCTCAGGAGTATTTTGTATAAATAATAGAGCATTTAGCAGTTTGTTCTGAATCACATTAGTAACATTGGAGATAGCAGGCAGTATCTGCAATGAAATATTTTATAGTCATAGTTTTTAAGTATATAGGTTTGTTTATTCTCTACTTGTACAAAAATCAGTAAAAAGTAATGCTTTCTTTTCTATTTCTTTCTGCTTTTTGGAAAAAGCTGCCTTAAATTAAAAAACCTGTTATTTGATATGATTCATGTGTAGATATTCTTCAGATAATCTAATCTGGGTCCCAGAACCATAAAAGCTGTTGAAATTTAGTGGCTTTTCCAACATGTCCTGTCCATGTGCTCATTTTTAAGGAACAATTTACAAAACATTTATCTGCCTATTTCTCACATTGTTCTGTGCCTGGATTAATTTGTAAATGAATTTTTTAGAATTAGTTTAGAAAAATCTAGCTTAGTACTTGGCACCTATGCCATTACTAACAGATCAGAAATAAATTTTAGTTTTTACGTAACAAGCATAATTTTGGTGAATTAGAATGTACTGGTATTTCCACTGGGGAGAGAAATAGCATTATTATCATCCACACTTGATAGTTTTCCTTTTTAGAGAGGTTAGTGATATAAATAAACCTTTTCATATAATTACTGAGGAACTTCTTTGTGAGAACAGATGAGATTAACTTGTAAGAGAGCAAATAGAAAAGAAGTGGCTACAATTCTGAGGTATTTTCAAATGGAAAAGATGGAAGTTCTCTTTATGCTTCTTTATTTAGCTACTCCTTCTTAATTTAATTTAATTGACCGAAATGAAAATATAACATTTTTGGCAAAGAGATACTGCTTATTTTTATAGTACTGTTTGGAGTCCTCGTAACTGACGTACTTAAAATCTTGCAGCATTTTCAGTACTAACCAACCTTTGGCAAAGCGGAGTAGTTAGGTGTGGAGTGGAGCTAGAGAGAATAGACTGAGGTCGCAGGCTTCTAGAAATTTGTAGTGAATGACCGTCCCACTAAACTACAAATGACTGAGAGGGTTAATTCTCCCTAGAGGTCTGTGTAATAAGAGATGGAATTAAAGTGCTACTTGCTGGTTTCCTTTCCTGCTTAACAGAGCAGAGGTCAGCTACTTAGTACTCCTTTTCTGAATGCCCATGCTTTTTCAAGAACTAGCTCATCCTTGGGGCACCTGGATGGCTCAGTCGGTTAAGTGTCTGATTTCGGCTCAGGTCATGATCTCACGGTTCATGAGTTTGAGCCCTGCTGACAGCTCAGAGCCTGGAGCCTGCTTCAGATTCTGTCTCCCTCTCTCTTTCTGCTCCTCCCCTGCTCTCAGTGTGGGGGTGGGGGGTCCTCTCTCTCTCTCTCTCTCTCTCAAAAATAAATAAACTTTAAAAGCTAGATCATTCTTAGTTTAACCTCAGATTATAGCAGGAATAGGGGGAGATATTTTTGAGTGAACACTGGCTTCCCCTTAGTGGCTTCTTAAATTATCACAGCGTAGTCGTCAGCTAGGAGGACACTGCAGTAACTGTTGTCTACCAAGTGGTTACATTAATTTTTACTTTCAAAGGATATAATTCCCTCCATTTTAGCACTGGCTCTGCATTGGTGCCTTTTGCTGTGCTAATGAGATATACCCTGTGTTATGAGATTGGTCAGAGCAGTATAAGTAAATGCTTGATACATATGTACAGAGAATTAATTCATCTGGTAGTCTTTACAAATCTCCAGATTCACAGATCACATCACTGTCTTAGACCTTTTCACTGTGAGTCCTAACTCTGTCGGTTGGATTGTGGGGGGATGTAATTTCCTCCCAAAGAAACCAAAAGCCCATTACTTTATAAAAGTTATTAGAGATGCAACAGTCCACTTGATGATTGGTGGTTGGCCAAGTAAATTCGTTAACAAATGACTTGCTCCTCCACATCCAACCTGGAATGCCCAGGATTCATATTTGCCCTTCTTCAAAAGTAAAAACTCATTGAGGATTAGATACCAAATGATATTAAGGAATTACTATTAATTTTGTTAATGTGTGATAATGGTTTTTGTAGTTACCTTTTAAAAAAAATGTCCTTCTCTGTTGGAGATACAGATCTGAAATACTTACAGGTGAAATGTTGGATTTGCTTTAAAAGACTAGCAGCTATAAAAGATATGATATGGATAGAATATTAGATAATGTAATTGTATGGATGTTAAATTTCCTAAATTTGGTCATTGAACTGTGACTGTGTAAGAGAACAGTTTTATCTGCTTAAATATTTAGGGGTGAAAGGGCATGGTGTCTGCAGTTTATTCCAAAATGGTTCAGGAAGACAAAGCGTAAATTAAGTGTTTGAGGGATAACAGAAACATGATTGGCAAAATACTGATAAGGTGGATGATAGATATATGGTAACTCATTATGTCACTCTAAACTGCTGTGTGTGTTGTAAATTTTTCAAAATAGAATGTTTTCAATTACTTCATTGCATGAAATTTGGGTATTGTGAAGAATTGAAGCCATGAGTATTAAATTTCAGCAGTGATGGGGTTCTACTGTAATTTGCTTGGGACTTTTAGACTTGCTTGCCTTCCATGTAAATTTCCTCCCTAGCCATGCTAAGACCATTTCTTTCTGTTTAATAGAGTAAGAAGAAAAAGAAAACTGATTTTATTCCCTACAGGGATTCTGTACTTACTTGGCTCCTTCGGGAAAATCTAGGTATGTTGAACACTGGTGTGTGGTTATCTTTTTAAAACTGCTTACTGATTACCATTTATGGTTAATTGTCTTGTATGTTTGTTTCAGAGAAGAATAATCTCTAGATATCCATGTTATTAATCTGACTCCTCCCTCCTTCTTTTCATTTTTGCTCTTGAATTAAGCTGGTTGGATTTGCTCACCTTTAAATCAGGGTTTTCTCCCCTATCTCATTGACCTTGGAACATGAACTGTGGTGTGGTTGCCTTCCTAACCACACCTGCTTCAAACTTTGGCTCCTTCTTCAGACCTCTTTGAAAACTCCATGTTGCCTTTTTGCTGATGTTTTTGGACCTTCAGGTCATTGCTCTTTATTCTCTGTTCTGTTAGCCTCTTTCCCTCCTTCCTGATGGAAAGAAGGGAATGATCAGCTATGTCAAATGTTGCTGATGGAAGGAAGAGGCTGAGAATAAATAGCCTGTTGGACTGTCCACATCACTGTGACTTTCACTCATTAAGAGCACTTCTATGGAGTGGCTGAGGCCTTAGGTGGAGCGGGGTGAGGGAAGCCGGTCACAGTAGATGCAAACACCAAGATTAAGAGTGTAGCAGTGCCTGGCATAGGAACATTTGGGACATTTGTTGACTTTTGGTTAAGTCTTAGGATCTGAGATTGTGCTGTCCAATTTGACAACATTTAATAAAGTTCTTTCTAAAATGACTGTGATTTGAGATAACCATGATTCATCTTCTTAGGTGGTAATTCTCGGACTGCAATGGTTGCTGCTCTGAGCCCAGCAGATATCAACTATGATGAAACTTTGAGCACTTTGAGGTACTCCAATCTGATCTCAATAGCAAAATAAAACAGTGTGGCACCATAAATCATTTTGTTATTCCACGGAGTTTCTTAGGATGTGTGGGTGATGTTTTGTGTAAGTAATGATCCAGCCCTCTCACAACAGGGAAAACACGTGCTGGGGGAGACTTTTACCATAATAGAATTTACCTGTTAAGACTTTTCAGTTTCACTGGCAAATACAGGAACTTTTTCATAGGAAAGATACTAAAATCACTCAAGTGAGATGTTTGGATAACTTCTAGATAATAGTGAAAGTTTCTTATCATTTTCATCCCTGTAAAAAGGCCCCTTCTTGTGGTGTTTGTCATTATAGAGATGCTTGGGCCTCAGCAGGTAATGCAGTTAGGGATATGTGTTATGTTAAAAAAAAATTACAGAATGTTCACTAATAGAACACAGTTGGCCCTTGAACAGCTCAGCTCAGTGGTTATGGGTGCCAGTCATCTGCACGGTTGAAAATCTGCATATAACTTGACTCCCCAAAAACTTGACTAATAACCTACTGTTGATCAGAAGCTTTGACGATAATATAAACAGTTGATAAACATATATCTTATACTGTATTCTTACAATAAAGTAAGTTATAGGAAAGAAAATGTTACTAAGGAAATCATAAGGAAGAGAATACATTTACAGTACTGGACTGTATTTATCAGAAAAAATCCGATTACAAGTGGACCTGCACAGTTCTAACCTGTGTTGTCCAAGGGTCAGCTGTACTTCTATATGTGTAATAGTGTTTATTTATTACTTTAATCTGGAACTTCCTACTCTTCTTCCATTGAAGATACTTCTAATATAATGGAAAGAACACTGTATAGTCTGACAAATTCGTTAGGAGTCTTTTCTGGTATTTTTTTTTTTTAATGATTTTGGGTAAATCACTAAATTCACCTGGGCCTTTTTCTTCATCCTTCCTGTAAAATGTCCTGTGCGTGTGTTATTATTAAGGCTTATAAAATGTGTAAATACTCAAGCTGTTTGATTTAGAGGTAGAAATAATGATATGTTACTTATGAGAAGTAGAGTACCTGAGGAATGGCAAAAATGAATGTTCCTTTTTTTTTATATAGATATGCAGATCGTGCAAAGCAAATTAAATGCAATGCTGTTATCAACGAGGACCCCAATGCCAAGCTGGTTCGGGAATTAAAGGAGGAAGTGACACGGCTGAAGGACCTTCTTCGTGCTCAGGGACTGGGCGACATTATTGATAGTAAGTGAATTAAGGATCAGCACAAACTCAGATCTTTTCCTCTTCAGGGTTGTTATATTTAAACTTAGATTAAAAGAGCTTGATGAAGTTAGATGGTAGAAAAAGGGGTTTTTTTCTTTTTTCTTTTTCTTAAGTTTTAAGAAAATCCAATGAAAATGATCTCAGAATTTCTTTATGTAGTAGTAACAGGCTATCCAGTTGAAGTCATGAAATTAGTTTTTAAAATGTAAATACGTTACTGCTTTATATTTTTAAATATACATATATATTTTTTAATTACATTTTTATTATTTTTTAATTTATTTTTTTAATGTTTTATTTATTTCTGAGAGAGAGAGAGAGAGAGACAGCGTGAGCAGGGGAAGGTCAGAGAGAGAGGGAGATACAGAATGTGAACCAGGCTCCAGGCTGAGCTAGCTGTCAGCACAGAGCCCACCGTGGGGCTTGAACCCACCAAGTGTGAGATCATGACCTGAGCCGAAGTCAGACGCTTAACCGACTGAGCCACCCAGGTGCCCCTTAAATATGTATTTTTAACTTTATCGTGAGAGAGAGAGAGAGAGAGACAGTGTGTGTGTGCACGAGATGGGGAGGGGCAGAGAGAGAAAGAGAAAGAATCTCAAGCAGGCTCTATGCTATCAGCACAGTGCCCTGTGTGAGGCTCCATCTCTGTGAACTGTGAGATCATGACCTGAGCTGAAATCAAGAGTCAGACACTTAGCCAACTGAGACACCCAGGTGCCCCTCATTGCTTGTATTTTTATTAGGTTTTCATTTTAGATCAGCAGTGAAGTTTTGGAATGTTCAGCTTATTTTTACCGAGAAATTAATCACTTCATAAAAATATTACTTGAAATTTTTGTGTTTGTATTATGCGTTTCTCTGGATTAATGCATTAGGAATAATATATGTGTAACAAACATGCTATTTCAGCCCCCTTTCAGATAAGATTTACCTTTGAGTGGTATCTTTCCCCTCCTGCAAAATGATTAAGAAACACTCCCTACCTCTCTCGCTATGAACACATAAAGGGGAAAGTATTCATTTCCTATCAAGTTTAAGAATGAGACTTCCAGAGAATATTATTTCACAGAATTGTCTTAAAATGAGTCTTTTTTGGGAGGCACCTGGGTGACTCAGTTGGTTAAGTGTCTACCTTGATTTAGGCTTAGGTCATGATCTCGCAGCTCTTAAGATCAGGCCCCATGTTGGACTCCACACTGACAGTGTGGAACCTGTTTGAGATTCTCTCTCCTTCTCTCTCTCTGCCCCTTCCCACTTGCATGCGCACACATGCTCGCTCGCTCTCTCTCTCTCTCTCCCGCAAAATAAATAAACATTTAAAAAAAATCCTTTTTTAACCTCAGCCTGCCTAATGTGTAATCAGAAGTTGAGTTAACTGGATGATTCAGGTAGACTGTTATATGGGTTTATTTGATAAAGCATATTTTTATCTTTTGAGTAAACAATATTCTATTGTTTGGAATTCTGATAAGATGTTAAAAGCCTCTTTGAGTTTAGTTCTTCTTACTGATTAGCACCTGACTTTAAGTGAATACAGTGTGCAAAATGATTATATATTCCAAATGTTAATTTTTTCATCTTCCCAAATGCCAAATACTGCTCTGTTCCCTCTCTATGTCACTGCTGAACCTGAACTTTGACCCTTCTTGTATTTTCCCTCCTGCTTACCTTCAGTTGATCCATTGATCGATGATTACTCTGGAAGTGGAGGCAAATGTGTGTATTTCATGTATTGGTTATTTCCAGTGCTCTGATTTGCTACTCTGCCTCGGCTGGATCAGCCTTAAAATGAGCTTTGCATGCTAGCAATCCTAACAGGGAAATCCCAGACAGAGCATATTGTAGGTTCAGAAATGATCCTGGTTTAGCCCTTCTCCATTTAGCAAATACACTGCTGAATTTCACTTTGTGGATTAAATAGTTGATAGGCTTGAGAATCTCTTCCTACTCCTACTCTTCAGTTTTTCCACTTCTGTGATTAAACTGAATCCAAAGTCATAGAGGACAATGATAGCAATGACAGCACCTCACATATCCTGAATGTTGATGAAGTGCTGGGCCCCGTTCTATGGACCTTGAATGTATTATCTCATTAATCCTGCCACTGATTCTGGAAAAAGCTCCTTTATGCCCATTTTTACCCACGAGGATACTGCTTACCTGTGGTGGTTAATTTGCTACTGAGATCTCGTGGTTTCTGTGTGGTTAGATTGGATAGTGTAACTCAGCCCCAACTTTTAATCATTACTGCACCTTTTTGGCCTCTTGATTTCCTTCAGGATCTGCTATTTAGTAGAAAAACCCTTTTAAGTTAGCTATGTAACTCTGAGCCGTAGTGTATGAATAATTAAAAACAGTCACTTGCGGTTGGCCAAACTATCCGTGACGGAGCAGCTCTGTGAATGTTGGGTTAGCACTCACCTGTGCTCGTGCTAGATTAGTTTCCTCCATGTCTCGGGCCTTAGCTTACATGGTGGTTAGGAAAACCACCTTTTGTTTTCCTTCCTGGAATTACAAATTAAATTTAAAATGTGTGCTCAAAATGAGGGTATTTTACAAAGGATCACACCTTGTTGTCCTCTCCACGTATATCATTAAGTTGGTGAGGACACGGTTTCTTACCCTTTCCGCGAGGGGATCTTTATCTTAGGAGAAATGAAGAATCTTGACTTCTTGCTTAAGTTTAGATTTTAATTGATTTGCTTGTCCATTTAATGAGGCATGTAATAGGGCTTGACGGGGAGGAAATACACAGGAGAGAGGAAATGTAGCCCTGGCCGCTGTGATGAGGCGAGGCCTTGACGTCACAGTAACACTCCCATACAGAGTGGCTCTTGGGCCAGAACAGCTCTGTCTGAGATTTCCAAAGCTGACCGATACTGATGTGAGAGAGACGCCATCTTGTTCTTGCTTTTGTGCCCCAGGTGGTGCTGCTATCAGCTTGTTGCCTCATTCTTTTCTGAGCAGTTGTGGCATCTCCCAAAAAGCTATGCATGACAAAGTTAATTTTGTGCCCGTGCAGGAAAGCAGCCCTGGTGTACTTAACGAATTTCCATTTCGATCTACTACTCTTGATTTCCTTTAGGGCTTGCATGTGTCCACTGGACCTTCTAAACTCCATTCATGCTGCTCTTTCCTACCTTGCTGCCGTCACCTGATGGCTGAATTTTTGTTCCAAGTCCCACCCCCCTTCTAAAACTTGCTTGCTTTCCTATGTTCTCTATTTGCAGATGGTGGTTTTCAAACTGTCTTGAAGCAACCACTGGTTTTAAGGAGTTACAAGAAATGGCTTTGATTAAATAGAGATGAGTAGATCCAGCGAGAGCAGATAGTACTGTTTTCTGACTCGTTGCTTTGATTCCTGTCATTTAGGGAAAACTTAACTTAGTTTTGATAAATTTTAAGCAATGTTGACTTTCCCAAATTTAAATATGAGCTAATTTTAAAATAAAAATCCATCAGTACTTATGGTTTTCCTCTGGTGTCTGTGACAAGGATGACAAACGAAAAAAAGTACATAGAGCAAATTAATTATGTTGTTTGTGGCTCTTTTTATCAAAACTAAATTTATTTATTTATTAATTTATTAAATTTTGTTAATGTTTATTTATTTTTGAGAGACAGAGCATGAGACCCGGAGGGTCAGAGAGAGAGGGAGACACAGAACCTGAAGCAGCTCCAGGCTCCAAGCTGTCAGCACAGAGCCCGACGCGGGGCTCAAACCCATGAACCATGGGCTGACCTGAGCTGAAGTCGGACACTCAACCACCTGAGCCACCCCTCAAAACTAAATTTAAAAACAAAACTTACAGTTGTATTAAAGACTTTTTAGTAAGTGAAAGTATGTCCCTAAAACTTGCATTTAGTACCAGGAACTTGACCTCCCAGTGAATCCTGGTAGTCCTGTTAGGCAAAGTAAGAGCCGTACTTTGCAATAATTAGCAAATAATCAGCCTTGATTTTGCTTGATCTAATAGATGAATACAAAGCATACCAACTTCAGTAATTTGCTAATAGTCCTTGCCTGTTGAGGCAATTGGCCCTGAGTTCTTAATCAGAATTTACACAAAATTTTTATGATTTCTACAGCTACCTCTCCTTTTTAAAAGCATATTTTAAAGGTCCTTTTTAGCATGTTGAAATACTGCTCTACAAAGGATACCACTGAGTGCTCAGGGTTTTAACTATAGCATCTTGGGATTTTTTTGTTGAATTCCATAAAATACTGGGCCTGGTTAATATTATTAATCAATAAATGATCATCCTTTTTTCCAATTACTGAGATTTAAGAGTAGTGTAAATTTAAGACATTGTAGATTCAAAGCTGTAAAAAGACTTAGGAGGAATGTAGCATGTTTTATTTACAAAGTGCCTGAGGATTATTCTTTGAGGTTCTGGTTACCCTCTACCAGATACAACGTTAACCCACACTGGAGTGTTTTAGTTTCTAAATTCAGAAGTGGTTCTTCACCTCTATAATACCAGTATTAAAGACAGACATGTTTTAGAACTGCCATCTAGAACAATTATAACTTGTCTTTGTATTATAACGTGTCTGTCTTGGCGCTTTAATGCTCTCCTTTCTTACGCTGGTGTTCCTTCCTGTCTTTTTTCTCCCTCTGCTCCTTTCCCTCCTCTCTACTTTTTCTGCCTTCCCTTCTCTCTGTCTCCCAGATCTGAAAGATTTTCAGAACAATAAGCATAGGTACTTGCTAGCCTCAGAGAATCAACGCCCTGGCAATTTTTCCACAGCATCCATGGGGTCCCTTACTTCATCTCCATCTTCCTGCTCACTCAATAGTCAGGTGGGCTTAACATCCGTGACCAGTATTCAGGAGAGGATCATGTCCACACCTGGAGGCGAAGAAGCCATTGAACGCCTAAAGGTAAGTAATAATTCAGACTGAATGAAAGGTGTTCTATGTAGTTCCATAAGGCAGAGTTGGTACTTAAAAACCACTGAGATTTTTGTTCAGGATATGGAAGAACTTTCTAATTCCTAGAGGTGTACTGAAAATGGAATTTGATGCTTTATAAGATAATTAATTGCTTTGCATCAGAATGCTTGAGTCTGACATGGCCAGGCAGAATTTAGAGAGATGTATGGGGAGATCACAGGTTGGCCATGCAAATAACTGATAAGTAGGTATGTCCTTTAATTCTGAGGTAGTTTATAAGTCACAGGGAAATTGTGTACTTAGAAATTTAGTGGGAAACTAATTTGTTAGAAGCACTTGGTTTCATTTGAAGATGGAATTCTGTATAGAGCTGTGTGTGTATTAGTAAAATATACAGTTGAAAATTTGAACATGTGAGTAGCTACACCAGGTTTATTCAGAACATGTGAAATGATAACTTCTAGAAGTTCATAGAAAGTCTTGGACCCTGTTCACATGGCTGTGGAAGGGCTGCCACCTCCTGTGCCAATGCACACAGGGTCACGGGCCTCAGCGCTTCGCTTCCCCAGGCTGTGCTTGGCTCTGTTGGGTACTTCCTTGTCTCTCTCCACGAATATGAAAGTGCACGGTAGCAGTGCCTGCTGACTCCCCGCTCCCAGGTCCTTCCTGTCCTCAGTGACTACAGTGAGAACACACAGTGCCATCCATCAAATCACTGTGACACTATCACAAATGCTGCTTCTTCCTTGCCCGTTACCTCCAGGATAATCATTTGATCCACACCTTTGGACCTTTGTGTTCCCAAGTGCGGGGGTGAGGGGGTAGGCAAGGAGGGCAGAGAAAGGTTTTCAAGGAGCTGGGAAGTTGCGGTTGTGTTTGCAGGCAACAGGCTCTTTGTTTACACTCGGTCCTCTCCACAACTGCTGCTTGCTCAGGGACTGTTGGGGACAGTGACACACTTGACAAATTAATGACGGGAAAGGTTTGCTGAGCTTTTTCACCACTAAAAGGGGAGGAAGCTTGATAATTGAAGATGGCAGATGTTTTCATTTTGGTTTTCAGGTAAGGCTGAAAAAGATTTAATTTTTTAAAAATGTTTATGAGAGAGAGGGGGAGAGGGAGAGAGAGAATCCAAAGTAGGCTTCGTGCTGTCTGCACAGAGCCCAGCGCAGGGCTTAATCTCATGAACCAGGAGATCATGACCTGAGGTGAAATCAAGAGTTGGATGCTTAATCAGGCACTCCCATAAAAAGATTTTATATGAATAATGGGCTTCTGTTTTACCCTGCTTTTTCCCTTGGCCTTTTACTCGCTTCCAAGCTTAGGCGCTTCAGAAACAAGAGTATTGATCTTGTCTTTTCCTTCAGAACATGTTAGTAGAGAGTGGATAAGTTCTGAAATACCTAGCAAAGGGAGAAGGGTGAGATATCTTTTCATCAATTGCTGCAGCTTGAAGGGTAATTTCTGCTATTTTAAAATTGCCTTTGAAATTTTAATAAAGACATTAGTGAAGTCTGTGCAGGAACCCTTCCTGCGTGTGTTTCTTTCATGAATAGGCATTTAGTGACAAAGTCACTGTGCCAGGTTCTTTCTATTCAGGCCAGTGCGGGGGATGCAGAGATTGGGGGGTGGGGGGTGAGATCTCCCACTTACTATTTAATGTGAAATGTTCTTTGTCTTTGGGGATTTTGAATCTCACTATATGCCTATTAAAGCCTTGGTGTGCAAATGAGATTATACTTTCCGTTAACTTGCATCTTGGCGTGAAAGAGAAAAATTTTCCTAACTGCCAGGTGGGACCAACTGAAAAATATCATTGGATGTTAGGAGTCAAGACATTAACCAGACTCTTTAAGAATTAGGTCACCCAGTGTTTTCCAAATAGTTTCTGGGGAATAACACGGCTGTTATCCAGGGAACCCTCCCCCCAGTCGTTCTACTTCCCACCAAAACAAAACTGTTCTCACTTTCATCAGAAAAGAAATTTTTCTGTTTTCATTTTCTTTTAAGCCAAAATAAATACAGTCTTCCATTTCACCTAGCTTTAGAAAATTGCTTCTGGATGGTTTTGCAATGGATCTTGAGTGTTTAATGCAGCCCGGCATCCACCAGGGCCTCAGCGTCTTAGCTCTGCTCCTGTTTTGTGAATGGTGAGAATTCCATCCCAGCAGACCTGCATCTCAATGCCCCAGGCACATAAGATCTTGTGCGCACAGTGCGCGGCGGTGGTTGTACAATAGAAATGCTTGAGAAGTTCTCATTTTTGGACCTTTGATTGTTGAATGTTTTGGAACTGTGCTCCTAAGACACGATACTGCAGAGGAAAAATACTGTAATGGAAAACAGGGGTTAATTCACTTTCCCAACATTTTATTTCCCTTTGCTTCTCTTTATTTTTGACTTTAAAAATATGATCAGTTGGTAGAAGACTTTTGCACAATGTGTTGCTGCTACTTTGTTTTTTTGAATAGCTTCTTTCCTTATGGAAGAGACCTATGTTTCGCTGTCATAAAGATCTCGACCCCTCCACAAATGTCTCTGGCAAAAGAGAGTGAAATGTAATTGCTTTCAGTTTTTAATCCCAACTCAAAGTGAGTTGGAGTGTCCATATCCTTGATTTGGATTCTTATTCAGTAAGGTTTTAAATATGTAACTATAGCTACTATGTGGTGGCTCTGGTGTTTATTAGTCTGGCATCACAGTCAGTACTAGGAGTGCCATCGCCAAAGCTTAGGTTATAAATATCCATTACAGAAGCACGCAGGGGCAGATGCTGTGCTAGGCAGCCCGAGGGCCCCGCACTTGGAACTTAACTCATGGAGCATACTGTGTTCAGTACAGTAAAACCTTGGCTATCTGATGGCTTCAAGGAATGTTCCATGTACTAAGCGTTTAACCTTTTAAATATCACTATTTAACCATGTTTTTTTTTTCGTGGAAATATTTCTGACTTGTTCTGTGGATTTTCCTGCCACCTTAACTGAATCATGACAAAGAAATTAAATTGTGTTTAGTTGTGTGAGCACAATTATTAACGAGCGCTGTACAGATAGCTAGACCTACAGGATGTGTCAGGCCAGAGTTGAATGGCGCCTGAGCCCAGTGTTCCTTGGAACTTAATAAAAAGGTTCCTGGGGCGCCTGGGTGGCTCAGTCAGTTAAGTGTCCGACTTCAGCTCAGGTCATGATCTCACGGTTTGTGGGTTCGAGCCCCGCGTCGGGCTCTGTGCTGACATAAACATTAGAAAGGAAAAAAAGGTTCCTGATGTCATTGCTTTTTGGGGTTTTTTTGTGTTTGGGTATTACCTGCACGAAGGAAGGACCCTTAAAGATTTGTCTCGACTCATCGTTTCTGAAGCGTGAATTCCAGTTTCAGCATAATCTTGAGCTGGGCTTCTGGAGTTCTGGGCAGCACTGAGCACCAGTGTGCCAGGCCTGCCTGCAGACCAGCTTGACAGCTCAGGGACCACAGCTGTCTCCTACTGGCAGCTCAGTTCACTGTTCAAGCTTCAGGAAAGAATAATATCCTTTACTCTTTCTTAATCAATGGAGAGCTGTTTTGTTGAGTATTTTCTTTAAAGCCCGTTGATTCTGCTTTAATTAAAGGAAGAACATCAAGAATCAGGAAACCCAGCTCTAGGGTTTAGTGGCTCAGGAAATAGTGTGGCCTCAGGTTAGTCTGTAGCTTCTCTGGCCCCAAGGTACTTTCTCTCTAGAATGGTTCTGGAATAAATGCCTTTTCTAGCACTGAAGTTTTGCTCGATATCATTTTCTCTGACCTTTCTTCAGAGTTTTAAAAAACAGCTTCTGAGACAACATAAAAATTGGAACTTGAAGCTGTAATGAAAAATAAAAACAGTATCATACTCAGCTAACTCATTAAGTCTCTTTTTTACAAAGAGATCGTGGCCTGACTTACCCTCCAGGTAGAAAGTAAAATTAGAGAGTTCATGTTCACATTGGCAGCAAAAGACAAGAGGGTCCTTAGATAGCGATTTTTGCATTTTAGGGATGAGTTTACAGTTGCCCCAAAATGGAAAAGCTTGCATGTAGCCAGATAAACCTCTTATCAGACACAATGTGCTCATGAAAATAACCAGCGCAGAAGAAAAATAGTTAAGTATCTCCTGGGTCAGTTTATTCTGTATGCAACGTCAGCGGCTTGTGGGCCACACACTGCATAATAAGCCCTGGTCCCTTTGCTGCAGTTTGGGCAACCTGTTGTGCTCGCCCTGCATGTTCACAGTGACCATTTGGAGACTGTAAAGGTTTCTCCCCAGCCGTCTTTCATTGGTCTTGTATTTACCCGTTCACAGTATATGCAAAAACATGTAATGCTACTCTGTTATTGTTTGAGTTATTGTTTGAAGAGTTATTGTTTGAAGAACTTCTGTGGTACTTACTGGCCACTTGGGTCCTCATATGCTTCCTTTCCTGGCCATCTCACTCCTTGCCACGGTTGTGTGGGCGTTTTGGTTGCTGGCCCTCTGGTGTGGCACTTGGGTTCCTCCCTTCACTAGGGAGTGGCAGGTGCACTGCATGTGAAGTCGTGCTGCGAGGACTGTGCAGAGACGCCGTCCGGGTAGCTGCTGGAGTCTGCCGGCAGCGCTGATGATGGCCTGCCTGGGTGGTTTTGTCTCTTTCGCTCCACCCTCCCCGCTCCCTCTGCAGACTTGCTCTGGCACCCCCACGTTGTGATGGACTCTGCCCTGAAAGCACCTTTGCAGTGGCCCCCTTTGTGCGGACCACATGCGGTACCGATGCCCATGCGGTTTCTGACGTTTCTGAGTCGGTCGTCAGTTTTGCTCTTTGCCCCGCTTCGCTAGCTGTTGCTGTTCCTCACCGTCATCGTCATGCTCTCCCGTTTGTTTCTCCTCTGCTCTTGTACCCCTCTGCTTTCGCCCCCTGCCGCCTGGAGTTTTCACTCATGGCTTTTTTTACATGCTCTCATGTCTCATTCCAGAAAACCAAATCGCAGACACGTTAGCGTTGATTGTATTACATGTTCACTGTTTTCTTTCTGTGTAGAGAATTATGTTTTCAGATCCCAGGGGCTTCTGACAATAGCCTGTTCAGTGAATCAGACAGAGAAATATTTTGTAAACTGTGCAGGGTTTTCATCACAACCACTGCCATCACCAGAGCTATCATCTCATCATCGTTAGGCTCCTCGTCCCCCTCATTTGACTTTCTACTTTTGTCTCCGTGACTAGATTGTCCTGCTTTCTGCATGTGCTCATCCCCCTTGCAGGCTTCCTCCGGCTGCCTCCATTTTCCACTGAGTTGATCCCTGCTTGTCCTCCATTCATCAGTATGAGCATCCTTCTCACGTTCGCCCGTTTCTCCAGCCGCCTGTGAGTGCTTCACTTCTGGCACCTGGGCTCCCGTTGTGTGGCCTCCTCCTGCCCTGCGTGTGCACAGTGTGCAGGCGTGCTGCTCTGGCCACACCGTCGTTCCTGGGAAATGCCAGCCGTTTCTTCCCTCACGTATTTGTGTGGTAGCCCCTGTTCCTTGTCTCTGCTCACACAGAACCTTGGCAGCAAACCCTGTCCTGACAGCCCCACCCCAGACTGCTCCCTCACTCACCCCCTTCCCTTTCTTGCTTTTCCTCCAAGGTACTGCTGCTCTCTGATACACTATATATCTGAATTCTTGTTTAAACTCGATTACTTCAGGCTCTTTACCAGAATGTAAGTCTCACAAAGACGGAGATTTTGTCCCTTGCCCCACCTCTGGTTGCCTGAGCCAGGGTTTGGCATGTAATGACATGGTGTATAACTACTGAGTGAGCGAATCAATGGTTATTTCTCTCTCCCTAGTATACGGTAAGTTCCTTGAGAGCAGGAAACATGTTTTTGTTTTTATATTTCTGGCATTGATAAACACTCACCACGAGACTATGAAAGTGTTACTTCAGTGGCTCCATGCCTGCAGATGAAATGAGTACTAAACCTTGTATAGCAGATACTGGGTTGTGTTCGAGAGGGTGTTGTGTTACCGGGGAGTAAAAATATCATTCATTTACCCTTCAGGTTCTTGGCTGGGGCTTCTGTGACAAAAGATTAAAAAGAGAAAAGCACACAAGTTGATTTAATATAAGTTTTCTGTGACACGGGAGCCTTCATAATAAAATGAAGACCCAAAGCGGTGTTAAACCTGAGCATTTTGGGGCTAGGTTTGATGACGAGGGAAGAGTCATGGGAAATTATGATGGGATGGGGGTGGGGGGCCTATTTGTTCACACTCCTCCTGGTGCTGCTCCTCCTTTGGAGATGAGGATGTGTCTTTTCTCCAGGTGCAGGGAGGGCCTTAAAACTTGCTTGAGGAGATCAGAGTCCTTCCTGCAGATACCGTTTCTCCCATTACCTCAGCTTAAAATAGTATGCCAAGATGCCGTATTTTAGACAAATGTGTTCGGAGCCCCGTCAGTGTTAGGGTGAAATTACAGTGATGAAACAAAAGCAATAAATAAACCCTTGGTGGCTTTATTCTTTAGTAGAAGTAGCTGTCTAAGATACTAGGGAACAGTGTCTTGCATGTTTGGATGTTGCTATTACTCTTCCTTCGGTAAACACACACATACACACTCACTCACCATTAGGACATAGGAGAATTTGTATATCTAGGGCTGCTTTAACGTTAGATCTAGTCTTCATGATTTTTATTGTGCATAATAAGAAAGGAGAAAAATCTCACTGTATTAGATTCTGCCTCATACCCACAAAGGGCATCTTGCTGTCCTTCCCAGACGTAGCCTGTCATTTCATAAGGCTCTTCACTTTAACTGTGGACTTCCTCCCTTAGGAATCGGAGAAGATCATTGCTGAGCTGAATGAAACCTGGGAAGAGAAGCTGCGTAAAACAGAGGCCATCAGAATGGAGAGGTCAGGACGTTATTAAGTTCTGGGGGTGTCTGCACATTCTCAGGGGAACTGGGATTCCTTTTATAGAAGGGGAGGATGAACTGGAAGTAAAAGTGAAGGGTGCCCCCCCCCCTTTATTTGGGTGAATATAACTTTACCTAACATGGGAACAGAATTTATTTTGAATGTTCTCTTTTTCTTTCTTTCTTTTTTTTTTTTTTTTTTACAAATAGTTTATTGTCAAGTTGGTTTCTTTTTTTTTTTTTTTAATATTTTTATTTATTTTTAGGAGAGAGAGAGAGACAGCATGAGCAGGGGAGGGTCAGAGAGAGAGGGAGACACAGACTGAAACAGGCTCCAGGCTCTGAGCTGGCAGTCAGCACAGAGCCCGACGCGGGGCTCGAACCCACGAACCGCGAGATCATGACCTAAGCGAAAGTCGGACGCCTAACCGACTAAGCCACCCAGGCGCCCCTGTCAAGTTGGTTTCCATATGACATCCAGTGCTCATCCCCACGAATGCCCTCCTCCATGAATGTTCTCTTTTTCTTAAAAATAATTTCTCATTAATGATGGGATAGACAGATTTTTCACATTTGTATTACTAACACGGATGGTAGTTTTTGCTCTGCATGCTTTATTTTCTAGTTCATATGAGACTGATTTAATTGACATTTGCTGTTGGTATTCTAATGCGTTTGTTGTTTTTTCAGAGAGGCCTTGTTGGCTGAGATGGGAGTTGCCATTCGAGAAGATGGAGGAACCCTGGGAGTTTTCTCACCTAAGAAGGTAGGACACAGTGTTGTGAACTCCACCAAACAGAAGACGAAATTCCTGTTTGTCTTGGCCACTGAGACACTTCCAGCCTTTCAGGGCTGGCCCCTCTTCCCTTCATCTTGTCTTGGGGTTTGGCTTAATTTCAGACATTTCTGATTTCATCTTATAGTAAGAGGGCAGCCTATTTCTAAAATGCCTGTATGTTTGCTGTTTACAGAACAAAACCCAAGGCCATAAATCTAACTTCCGGTCATGATTCAGTATGTTTACTCATGTGCATTGTTGCTTTCTCTTCAGTTCCCAGCCTGTCACCTAGCATACCTTGCTTCAGTTTGGTTACTCTTTCTATGTAGATTTTCCCACAGATGCCAGCAGCCCTGATTTATAACTCTGTGGAAGCAGTTTCAGCCATTCAGGTTTGTTTAGAAGGATACCACTCAAGTTTGCTTCTTTAGTTTGTGTTACAGACAGCCATTGTACTAAGTAAAGCAATTCCTGTCCTCACCCTTGTAGCCGCCTCTGCCCCCTTCTTAGTTTAAAAAAAAATAAATAAAACTCCAGTAGTTACCCTCCTACTTCTATTATCATAGTTATTAGGTAGTAGTTACCTTGTAGCCAATTAGAATAGCGAGGTGGGTCTGGTTTTGGACTTTTTGTTGTTGTTGTTTTGTTCTTTTACTAAGTTGCTTCCTAGTTATTGTTAGATACTGGAAAACTATTATCAAATGATTATTTTTGTGTTCTTCTCACTTGACAGTAATAAAACATAAATTGATTTATAAAGTAAATATATTCATGCCAGTAATAGTGGCCCTTCATTTCAAATGACCCCAAATTGGCTATTAGAGATTTAAAGATATTCTGCAAAGGTCTGATGGTGATCTCTCTAGGTTAGCATTAGAGTGATTGGGGAGTTTTCCATTTTTGTTTTTACGTGATATGAAATATTCCTGGTGTTTGCTGGGGTTCTTTTGGTTTGGTTTTTCTGTCAAGGTCACATAACTTTTTTGGAAATTCCAGTGCATTATTTTCAACAAAGAAGATTGTCCTAAAGACGTCTTAAATACATACTTTAGTACTGGAACAATAATAACAGTATTTTGTCTGCTGGTATTGCCAAGGATCCGTGGTTTTCACAGTTTAATAGTATTTGCTTCAGTAAGACGTTATTTATTGAGATATGATAGTTAAGATTGTAGAGGTGTTAGCAGTTCTACGTTTGATAGAATTTGTGCCTTTGTGTATATTAAAAGATTTTACAACATCTTTCAGTGTTAAGAGCTACATGGAAACATTTGGTAACAACTTGTAAAAATATGACATTTAACACAAGTTATAAATAACTTGAATTAGTGTTGTGGTATAAACAGCCTAGAATTCCCTGAGATCTCTGTTTCCAAAGCTTGTTCTTACTTTAATTTTATGCATTTTGTTTTAATTTTCTAGATTTCCCCAGGTAAGGAAGGGATACATCACTGGCCACATCCAAATTCAGTTTCAGAACCTGTTTCTGATGTGTTAACTTGATTGTGGTAATCATTACACGATGTGTATGTGTATTAAATTGACACATTGGATGCCTTTAAAAAAACATGTTGTGCAACCTAAATATATACCATTTTGTCAGTCATTCCTCAGTAAAATTGGGGGAGGGAGAGAATACTTTTAAGGCAAGGGGAAACAAAACCTGTTTCTAGGATTCCCTTTTTCTGAGGCCAGTGTCATGATAGGTTTTAAAGAACAGGACCCACAGAGGACTTTGATTTTCTCAAACCAGCGGAGCTCTTAAACTCCAGAGGCAGATGCTAATGTTGAGCTTTTTCTAATTTCGTTTTAATCATCTTTCTCATTCCCTGTTAACTCTCTTATCTGACTCATCTTTCATTTTTCCACCTTTGCTGGCACTGTCTTGAGTAGATTTTGACCCCAAGACCATGTGACTTATTTTTGGATTCCAGTGGGGTATTTTCACCAAAGAAGGTTGGTTTTTCAAAGATTTTAGAAATATTAGAGTTAGATGAAGAGGACTTTTACAAGATGTGTATATTGTTAAATGACAATAATTTTAATTTTCTTCTTGAAGATAAAGACTAATGAATTAAAGATAGTAACTGGGACCATGGAAGAAGCGATAAAAATTATAGAAGGAAGTGAGAGAGGATGTGGGGATGTGTAAATGAAAACTTAAGTATTTCTTGAGATTGTAGAAAGAAAAATAGTTTTCCCTCCACCCTTCTGAGTTTTTAGTTGAGAGCCCTGTAATAACAGATTAATAAGAGAAAAACAAAAATAAGTTTACTAACATGTCTGTTTCATGTATGTGTGGGAGCGCCCCAGGGGAAGTGAGTGACTCCCCAGGAGGGCTTAGAGTTCAGACTTAAATACCATGTTAGTAGGGAGAGGGGAGCCTGGACGGAAGCCTCTCAGGAGGGAGTGAACGATTTTCAAGAAAGGTGAAGGGGCCCTTGGGAGAATAGATGGGAAGTGTGATTGTTTGTGACAAAGTCTGTCTGGTGTCCACTTCTGGTGTCCTCTCTTGGGACAATAGTCCATCCTCCCCAGTTGATGGACTTCCGGAGGGGACATGACAGCTGAAGTCCTTGAGGAGGACCTGTCTTCAGGTGAGGGTGGGGCAGGGGTGGTTGCTGTTTTTCAAGTGCCTTCAGCTCAAATAATCAATATGTCAAAGTGGCCTCCCTTCTTCCCCTTCAAGATTTTTGTCCAGGTACTTACAAAAATTGTGATTGACCCATCCAGAGAATCAACCTGTCCTTCTTTTTCTTTTGTATTCTTCATGCTTTGACCTTATCAAGAATCGGATCTTGTTCTTTATCCTAGAACTCATGTTTTTAAATAGAATGCATTGGTATAATTTGAGAAGGCCTGAAGAGAGCGTTTTGTGTTTATAATGAAATTGCAACTAGGAATGTAAGAGGTCCCTCACCTAGGGACTGTAGGTAATATGGGTAGCCATGAGCTTCCTGTAGTCACTGTACTTGTCACAGCCTGTGCTGTTGTACTTGCTCCAAATTGATCATCTGTACCCTCTTTCAGACCCCACATCTTGTTAACCTCAATGAAGACCCACTCATGTCTGAGTGCCTGCTTTATTACATCAAAGATGGAATTACAAGGTATATTTGTTTCTTTTGGTTACTTAACGTTTTCTGTTCTCTTCAGTGATTGAATAACTATAAGGAAGTTGTTTTTTGAAAAATGTGTTGTAATTTGCTTTTTCCTGTCCAAAATAGTTGTAAACTATCTTGTCTTCCCGGATTGTATAAGCACTTTAGTCAGCTGAACCAGTTAACATGTAGTTTTCCCTAAAAACCCTAAGTAAAAATTTTTTTCTAACTTCTTGTATGAATTCATTAGGGAAATTAGTTCACTCGTGTCTTTTTATAAAGCTGAGTGAGTTACATTGATGTATCCTTATTACATTGATGTTTCTTATTCTCATGAAGGGAGGTTGATCATATGTGAAAATAAAATTTGCAGTTGAAAGACTCCGATAAAAAGAAGGGTTACCTTTTTTGTACATACCAAGGAATATTCTTTGGGAGAAAGAGGTTCATTGTTTTCAGTGCTTTTTGTGTCTGAATTTCCCTGGGAAACACTTTCCCTTGTGTTCAGGGTTGGCCAAGCAGATGCTGAGCGGCGCCAGGACATCGTGCTGAGTGGGGCTCACATTAAAGAAGAGCATTGTATCTTCCGGAGCGAGAGAAACAACAGTGGGGACGGTGAGAGTTCCTGGCTTAGCTTTCCAACAACCTTTTCCTTCCATATTATTAGAAATCATCAAGGCATGGTATTCCCTGTCTCTTTCAGTGATATTTTCTTGTACAACCTAATATTTGGAAAATGGAGAAACCTGGGCTGCTTACAAATGCCGGGACGGACGTAGCTGTTTTACATGAAAATAGGCTGGACAAAGGGAGCCCTTTTGGGACTGCCAAGAACTGAGCAGGACAGAGGCAATTAGGCTTGGTCTTGAATGTTAATTAATTAATAGACAAGTAAGAAAGGAACAAATATTCTGGGTAGTGGGAGATTTGAAGGACCTCTGATTTTAACCCAGTAGAACTTTTTTATCTAAAAGGGAAGAAGAAGTTAGTCTTGATTTTTGCCCAGGTTATTAACAAAACAATAATCTAATGGTATTTTTGTGCTATATGATTCATTCCTTTAATCAAAATATTAGCTTTTGATCTTAAGTTTCTGGATAGTACATAAATCTTAAAATTTCTGATGGTTTTCAGTTTTATGGACTGAACTATCAGATAGCACCAAAATGAGCATTTCTTGTCTTCTGAGGTTTGTCAAATTCATTTAAATGTTTCTCTTAGCCATACCCCTGGTTTGGGTCCCCTAACATGAACTACTGTGTAGATTCTCAGCCACTTGGTTGATTGCAGGAATCTATTCTAGTTACCCTGAATCCTCATAGTCCTCTGCTTTCCATTGTTTTATTCCAGTGGTTTCTGATGCTAATACTAGTTTGTGTTCTTTTTAGTTATTGTGACCCTAGAGCCCTGTGAACGCTCAGAAACCTATGTAAATGGCAAGAGGGTGGCCCAGCCCGTTCAGCTGCGCTCAGGTGAGACCGGGGAAGGTTTGAAACAGTAAACAGTATGTGGCTTATGTGAGCAACTCTTCAGTGTTTGACTCTTTGTTTGAAGAAGTGATAGTCAGCGTTAGAATTTCTGTTCTTGTAAAACTCCAAAAGCTGTCTTTTTGCATTAGGGAAAGGGAGGAAAAGTGAAGTCACAAGCCTAGGTATGTACCCATTTAAGAAATGGCTTCTTGACTCTATTTCTGTTTTGTGCTAGGAAACCGTATCATCATGGGTAAAAACCATGTGTTTCGTTTCAACCATCCGGAGCAAGCTCGAGCGGAGCGGGAGAAGACTCCTTCTGCAGAGACCCCCTCTGAGCCTGTGGACTGGACGTTTGCCCAGAGAGAACTTCTGGAAAAACAGGGGATTGATATGAAGCAGGAAATGGAAAAAAGGTAACGCCCAAATACGAGGTGGTCCATGTGACCATCGCTTCTTTTAAGCCCACGGTATATAGCATTCATGAAACGGCTCAGTGATTTCACAGTGGGTTTTTTTCCTCTCTTGTTTTTCTTTTCGCTGTAGGCTGCAAGAGATGGAGGTCCTGTACAGAAAGGAGAAAGAAGAAGCAGATCTTCTTCTGGAGCAGCAGAGACTGGTAGGAGGCCGTCCTGAGCCCTCTGTTAGGAAAAGGGCGGCTTGCTCTTATCCCTCCCATTCCACAGATGAGCACTCGCCCAAATGGCTTGCCCAGCTCTCACTGACACCATATGCTGTTCTCTCATTTTCTTAATTGAGAATGAACTTACATCTCCTGGTAGCCTTAGCCTGAAAAAGTGTTCATAAAGGTACAGTTTTGTGCCTTTTACGTCCTAAAATCAAGTCTTTAGTTCTGTCAAAACCAAGTGCTTTTTGAGGAACTAGTGGGAGCTTTTCCGGTAGCCTCTGCCTCCTGATAGTGGTTTTTGAGTATGCATCAGTGGTGGTTCTTTTAATAATAATTATATTAAATATTGAATTTGATGGGTGTTTGCCTTGGTTTTGTTTCTGATCACCTGATAGTACTAATTCTCTGCTCTTGGGCTGACTTGGGGATTGTTCTTATGCTGGGCAGACTTTTTTTTTCTTTTTCTTTTCCTTTTTTTAGTTAAACTGTGTCTAAAAGTGTTGCTGCACAGTTGCATGTGTTAATCCTTTTCTGTTCCCCTGCATGGAGTCTGAATTCTCAGTAAGGGTCTCCGTGGCATGTGGGATGATAGTGGAGCAGGGCCCATGCCAGCTCAGACAGTAGAAGGAAGCCTGATTCCTCTGGGTTGAGAAAGGGTTTGGGTGAGAGTCAAAAAGTTGGTTTCAGGTTGCAGCTTCTAATGCTAATGGCTGTAGCATTTTATGATGTAAATTGATTCTCCAAGTTTGATAGAAACTGGATCTCATGAATATATAAGTTGACCCATTAGTTAGATTTTTATTTTTAAGGCCATCCAGCTTTGGTTAACAAAGCCCTGGTCATGAGAAGCTTCTTGGCATTCATTTGATATGTAAGGAAAAGGTATAATAAACTTTTGGGTACTGTGGATACAGTGTAAGATTTTTTTAAGATTCATGGACTTCTTTTAAGATAAGAGGATATTAGAGAGAAAGCTGAGATACTGGTTTCTTCCCTTAGCATAAAACACAGCATCTAAAATACTGTGTGTAAACGGCAGCCTTATGGTCATGCTCTGCTTTGAAGAGAGGCTCTTGTTACTAACTGGGCCAGAAGAGCCAAGGTCTTGAGCAAAAGCAGGCTTTCCCAGGGCAACTCATTTCTTAGGCCTGGCAGTGGGTTAAACCGGTTAGTTTGTTATCTTGGAAACTATAGTGAAGTCCAAGAAAGAATGGATTGTAGGAATAAATCACGTGTTTGTGGCAAGATAATAGCAGTGTTGGAGTCCCCTATGAAGCCTAGTTGACATTTAGTTTTTAATGAAAACAGAAGGAATTTGGCTATAGTGTGATTAGGGGTTTGAAGGGTTTGTGACTCATGAGGAACCTTTTTATCTTCATAATGTATGATTTAGTAACATGCCTCTGATGGTCTGTGACAGATCACATGAAGACAGGTATCATTAAGCTGTGTGTGTTATTAACAGTAGTGCCTTGTATATTTCTTTAGTGCCTTATAATTTACAGAGAGTTTTAACATCCACCAATTCTTTTTTTCCAGAATAGCCCTCCCTGGTAGGCATGTGTGTAAATAAAATGAGTAATATTACCTCCAATTTATAGTTGAGTAAACTAAGGCTAAAAAAAGGCTTTCTTGCGCATTCTTAAACGCCTGTTAAGTCATGGGTCTGAGGCTTCACCTTGGGTCTTCTGAATTGCTTTGGTGTTCTTTTCGGTCTAGAAAGAGCAGTGCCCCTCCCCCAGCTGGGTGTCTTGTTGAAATGCAGGTGCTGATTCAGTAGGTCTGGGGTGGGACCTGAGGTTCTTCATGTCTAACAAGCTCCCAGGTGATGCCAGTGCTGCTGAGACCAGCCTTTGAAGGAGCAGGTGGGAGAGAGGATGATGGCTGGCGCTCTCCATAACCAAGAGCTGATAGTCCCTCTTTGCCCTGAAGTAAAGATGCTGACCATTAAGCAAAGAGAAAATAAATGTGTCTGAGACCTCTTTCATTTCCAGGGGACATACTTAGTCTGCAAGTAGTCAAGTCCTGGTTGTCATCTGTTCTGTGTATCTCAGGGCAGGTTAGGGTCTCAAGAGCAGCTACTCAAAGCAGGGAGGCTGCTTTCCTCCCATAAGTCCAGCTGTCTGTTCCACTCACATTTCTTGTCCTCAAGAGGAACTGCTTTCGAATGCTTTAGCCTAAAGAGTATCTAGCAGTAACAGTGCTTCATGGGAAATGTATTTTTATGACCCCATATTGGTCAGCCAACAGATATATTTTGAATGCACCTAAGAATAAACATTGAGAGGATATGAAATTCAGTAAAATTGTATTTAATACTATAATGTAATCATTTTGCATAATGATAGCATTAAAAAATGGAATTCAGGCTCATGAGTACTGTATTTTGATAGTTCCCCAAATGCGTCACATTGTCACACTGCCGAACATTCTCGTATAGTTAGTGCTCTATTACATACCTGGTCCTTTTTGCACTTGCTTTTTACACATGTAGTATCTTCTCTCTTCTCTTTGCATAGGCTTCTTGCAGAGTCTCTTAAGGAGGCCTTTGCATTTGGGATTTAATGAAGACAGAAGCAGCATTTAGTGACATGAATTGGCCAGACCTGAGTAGTTTTCCCAACCCTGTAATAAGTCAATCTAAATATCTTTAAATCTTTTTTGACGTGAGATAGGGTTTATATGTTGGCACATAAATGTTGCATACAGAATATTTGGTATCATGGTCAGTATGTGATAGGGGGCTTTAAGAACATACTCTACAAAGTCAATACGACAGTATTTTAAGAAGGAAAATTATGGCCACTGAGTTTAATTTGAGTTCCTTTGGATTTATAGTAGACTTTCTTATAAATTGATTTATGTTTTACTTATTATTTTTATAATATAAATATATTTTATTTTTATTAGAGTTAACAGACCTAATCGTTGTCTCTCAAGCATGATAGGAAAGCAGTGATTAGAATATTTGTTGTTTTGTAGATAGGTAGTACTCATTTTATCCTTAAGCAATCTTGAAAAGAGAAGAAGCCAGGATGGGGGTGGAGTGATAGTTGTCAATTGTGCGGGAACAATCAGGGGTGATGTTCTGTAAAACATAGTTTATACGTATTGGTAAGAAAACCTTTTTAGGAATCAGGCATACATTTTTCTCTAATGTTTGTTAATGTCCTCTTTTATCACTTAAGATGAACCATTCTGAGGTTTAAACTAAAAATGAAAAAGAAAAAAGTAGTGAACTCTAGCTGCTTTTTCTTATTTCTTTAATTTTTTCAGTGTTTATTCATTTTTGACAGACAGAGCACAAGGGGGGAGGGGCAGACAGAGAGGGAGACACAGAATCTGAAGCAGATTCCGGGCTCTGAGCTGTCAGCACAGAGCCCGACATGGGGCTTGAACTCACAAACCGCGAGATCATGACCTGAGCCAAAGTCCGATGCTTTACTGACTGAGCCACCCAGGTGCCCCGCTCTCTGCTTTTTCTTGTTAAATTTTCAGATCAATAGGGCTTTTAAATGGGTTTAGTACCCATTTATTGACCAACAAAAATAATACATCAACACTTCCAAATTCAGGGGCCAAATTATTATCATAATTGTTAAAAGCTATTTTTTAGAAATAACTGTACATATAAAGTAACTACATAGAAGTCTGGCCTAGAAAGCAAGATACTGTTTGCTAGAGATAATTGTGGTAATCACAGCCAAATAAAGGGGAATACTGAGGTTTATTTTTTCTTAACTAGACCATCCTGAACTACTCTTCTAAGTGAAAAGTTTCTTTTCCAAGGAACTTTTATTTTCTGAATAGAAATTCTTACATAATCCTATCCACCATAGGGAATTCTAAATCCAACATTGCTTTCATTTAGATCCATGTTATCCAGATGTGCTCATGTTAGTTAAGAACAGTTGGTTAGTATCCAGATAGCCCTTGAAGACTGGTTAGTTGTTTTAGGCCCAGCTCCAACAGCAGCCCAACTACCCAGCTAAAGCTTTTGAAGAGGTCAAGTGCAAACAAAGTATGGAAGATAGAGTTAGAGACAGCATTTTAAAGTGGATCTATTTTTACTTGAGCAGAATATCACCTTTCTGTTTCATATGTTGATAGGAAGAGTTGTCATTTAAAGTGATATTCCTCAAATGGCTAGAAATGCCATGGGTTTTCCTAAGGAGAAAACATCTGTAGGTTGTATTTATTAAAATATTGCTTGGGGAATTTTAAATGATGCTTAATGACAAATATATTTGCCTAGCTTAATTTACGTTCTGGAAATTTATTTCTTAAAAAATTGGAAGTGAAGTGTTTGTTGGTTTAAGTGTGTGAAAACAAAAAAGCAGACCCACCATAAGGATCCTTTTCTTCTGCTTCCTGTTCTCTGGGTACCAGCGTTAATTGCGCGCACGTAGTGCATCAGCTTGGCATGACGAGAAAATAGCGAACCCAGTGTGTACTTGTGGAAGGACTCATATCAAAACCCTCTTATTTTCTAGAAAAACAGTTTGGTTGATAAGAACCCCACACGGTCTGCTAGTAGGGATTCATTTTTAACATCATCCCTGTTTGACTGCTTCTTTTTCTACCTTCTCATCCTCTAACTTTTTTCTAGGGCTGCTCTTTTTAGTAAAGCTAAACAAAACGTGGCGTCCTACAGCCTTACTAACCCTTGTTAATCCGCCTGCTCGTCACATCTCGTATGGCATCTGTGCTCACTCATGGGGGAGAGAGTTTCTGGAAGAAGCAACAGCAATAACCAAGGCAAATGTTGGGGAAGTGGCTGCATGGGCGTTAGCATGTATGGGGCATAGGTTTTACTTCATTTTCTCAAGATGGTGGAGATGTCATTTCATGGCATTTTGTTAAATAAAAACTTCACATGACCTTCAAGGGAAAGGTCACTGTATCAGTCCTTCTAAGAAATTGGATTGCAGATCTCATCACTTAAGCCAGAAAGTGGGAATTTGCATTAGTGTTACTAAACAAGCAAAACTTTATAATAATAATCTTTATATACATATATCTCAGTAAACGTACACATCATTTAGGGGGTTTTTTATGTTTTTGTGTTTCGGTTTTTTGTTTTTTTTTTAGTTTTATTTATTTATTTTTGGTTTTGGTTTTAAATTTGGTTAAGGCTTTTTTGCTTGTTTTTTCTTCAATTTGATTTTCCTTTTTTACATTTTAATTTTGGTTATTTTGGGGCCATTTTTTGATTTTGTTTTTCCAAAGGACGCGGATTCTGATAGCGGGGACGATTCTGACAAGAGGTCCTGCGAAGAGAGCTGGAAACTGATTACTTCTCTGAGAGAAAAGCTACCTCCCAGCAAGTTGCAAACCATTGTTAAAAAATGTGGCCTCCCTAGCAGTGGGAAGAAACGAGAGCCAATTAAAATGTATCAGATCCCCCAAAGAAGGCGCCTGAGTAAAGATTCCAAGTGGGTCACCATCTCAGATCTTAAGATTCAGGCTGTAAAGGAGATCTGCTATGAGGTTGCACTCAATGATTTTAGGCACAGTCGGCAGGAGATTGAAGCCTTGGCCATCGTGAAGATGAAAGAGCTTTGTGCCATGTATGGGAAGAAGGATCCCAATGAGCGGGACTCCTGGAGGGCAGTGGCCAGGGATGTCTGGGACACGGTTGGTGTAGGGGATGAGAAGATCGAAGACATGATGGCCAGCGGTAAAGGTGGAACTGATGTAGACGACCTCAAGGTTCATATTGACAAACTGGAAGATATTTTGCAAGAGGTAAAAAAGCAAAACAACATGAAAGATGAGGAAATAAAAGTCTTAAGAAACAAAATGCTCAAAATGGAGAAAGTCTTGCCACTGATTGGTTCTCAGGAACAGAAAAACCAAGGAAACCACAGAGCAAAGGAACCTGTTGGGGCTAGTGTCGGTAGCAAGTCTGAGAGTGACGGAAGCAGAGGGGACAGTGGAGAACTCGAGAAAGAAGAGCGCGTCTCCCAGCTGATGAACGGGGATCCGGCTTTTAGACGCGGACGTCTGCGCTGGATGAGGCAAGAGCAAATCCGCTTTAAGAATCTGCAGCAGCAGGAGATAGCAAAGCAGCTTCGTAGGCAGAACGTACCTCATAGGTTCATCCCTCCTGAGAACCGGAAGCCCCGGTTCCCCTTTAAGAGCAACCCTAAACACAGAAACTCTTGGAGCCCCGGGACCCATATCATCATAACAGAAGATGAGGTAATAGAGCTTAGAATCCCAAAAGATGAAGATGGAAGGAGAGGAAATAAAGAGGAGAGCCAAGAAAAGGGGAGCAGAGCAGCTCCTAAGGATCCCCAGTTACCATGGGGCCCTCAGGGCACGCGAAGCCAAGATCACATCCAAGTCAGCAAGCAGCATATTAACGCTCAACAACAGCCACCTCAGTTACGCTGGAGAAGCAATTCTCTCAATAACGGCCAACCGAAAAGTACGCGCTGCCAGGCATCTGCCTCCTCAGAATCACTGAATTCCCACGGTGGTCACCCCACTGCCGATCTGCAGACTTTCCAGGCGAAGCGCCATATTCATCAGCACCGACAGTCTTACTGTAATTATAACACTGGAGGTCAGTTAGAGGGCAGTGCAGCCAGTTCCGTTCAGAAGCAGACTGACAAACCCAGCCACTGTAACCAGTTTGTGACACCTCCGAGGATGAGGCGCCAGTTTTCGGCACCCAATCTCAAAGCTGGTCGAGAAACCACAGTATAAATTACTGGACAAACTTGAAATCTTGGTGGAGGAAACAGGCAATGTTAGCTCACGATTTGAGTTGGTTCTAGCCTTGGCCTTGAGTTCCTACTATTTACATTATGATTTTAGTGTTGCGTTCTTACACATCTTAACTGATTTTAATATTGTTAAAACATAAAACACTGGTAAACATTTCAGCACCTCCCTTTTGTTTGCATGCCATAAATGGGCAGTTTCTGGAATTTTGGACAAAACACTGAGACCTCCCTTATTTTTCTGAGACTTTCCTCCTTCCTTGGTGCCTCGATAATACACTTACTTACCAGACCGGTCCGGTTTTGGTGTAAGTTTGTTGTGTTTTTATAATGCCTATAAACTGATTTGATATCCAGAAAGACCTGCCTCTCTTGGTTAATGCAGACACTCCAGAGGGGAGCTTGATACACAGAATTAAATGTCTGCTATTTCCCCATAAATGTTAGATGTTAGTTTAACATGTGACTATGTGGACACAGCTTTGGATTTCTCATCCATGTCTGTTCCTGTCCTTAAATATAATTGGAATTTTCATAAGCCAAAACTAAATGTCTTCGGACATATTTTGTAGTACACAGCTTTGCATCCTTCTGCAGAACTTCCCCATCTTCCTCTTCTACTACATTTTACACAGAACTGCTTCAGTAGCTTTGTTTTGCTTTGGTTTTTTTTTTTTTTTTTTAATGTATCAGTATGTGTATGAAACTTGTCATAGTACTGAAATCTTTAAATTGGCACCATTTCTGGATTTGTTTGTAGTTTGCTTTTGAAGTTTAACACATCATTTCTTACACACACACACACACACACACACACACACACACACACACATTCACACTCTGAACTAATCACCAAAATCAGGCCAACAAAATACTTGTATGCTGTTTGAGCAGTGTGTATAAGTTCACAGGGAGGTTATTTGGTGGAGAGAGGGGAAGAAGTGGGTCGTGGGGAGAAGGCCACACAGCACGTGGCTCTGTGCCACTTATTTTCAGGAGATGATGATATCATGAGTTAACTTTGGTTGGATTGAGAATAAAAGAGATGATTGTATAATAAACTATTCTTTGCTTAACAGTAGTAATGCTCACAGATGCTCAAGCGAGGGAAGAGAAGTCCTGATGAACATTTATTGTATCAATACCTCATTTTACTGTGTTGTGGTCTCAGTTTGCCTCACTGGAGAATCCACTAAAAAAGATGGATTTTAATGGGAAGAAGA